TATATATATATATATATATATATATATATATATATATATATATATATATATTGGGATATACTAATAACAACTTGTCATTACATATTATGCCTGAACCACAAAATGGGATAAAACTCTCCTTAATACCTAAGATCTTCGGGTACTTACATGCCAAATACTGTCAAGTGTTCAAGACTTTTGACCCCGACTGTACACAACCACATCAGAGCCCAACTCGCTTCAGGTCACCCCTAACAGAAAAAGCAACAAACTACTAGTTTATGATTCAATGTTAAATGAATTGAGGGTCAGGAGACGGAATATTTTTAGGCAAATTAAAATTTCACCTACAAAAATATTAAAAATACATTACTGCAGTCTGATAACTTTATTTCAGAAATATTTGCATACAGGAAATTTAATTTTCTAACCAAATAATTTTGTTTGTATAACAATGAATATAGATTAAATCATGTTTGAAGTAAAGCAATAATGACTTTACTATTACATACATTATCCTTAAAGGTAAAATAGGAGCTGGCACTACTCCATCAACACAACACTTCGGAGAGCTTTGCCCTGGTGCATCAGTTCAAATGCATTGTTAATTTCGTTTAGTGGTTTCTTGAAGGTTATAAACTCATCCACCATTATTTTTTTGCTCATGTAATCTTCAACAAGCTTTGGCACACTGTCACGAGACTTCCAACCTAGAAACAGAAATTAAAGACATTATTTCCCTACATGACCTGTGCAGTGCGGTATAGGAAATATTATACTGAAGACAACCTGCATCTCTTAACATAGGATATTTCATCCATTTATCTTATAAAGAGCATATTTAACCTTTTCACTAAACTTTAAAGGTTAGAAAGATATACTAGAAAACTTTATTAGATGTAAAGTAACACAGTATACCTCAATGCCAGACATGGAATGTAAACCTATACCTTTTTCTAACAAAAGTAAATATTGTACCTCTGATAGAAAACTGGAAATTTTGCTGTCAGATACCAAATCGAATAGAAACTGAGAAAAATGTTCATTAAACAAACTAAACTTCAAGATACAATAACATCACCAAAAGTATCTGTAAACTAAAACAACTTAATTTATACTTAACAAAAATATGTCTAACATGCATGACTGCAAACTGCGTGTGGTGATAAATGGTACAAAATCGTCATGTGTACCTGTGACAAGCGGGGTACCACTGGGAAGTGTATTGAGCCCATTGTTGTTTGTTTGCCTCATAAATGATATGCCAGAAGCAATACAAATGTTTGCAGATGATGCCATGTTATTTAGGTAAATTAAGAACCAAACAGACTGCGAAGAGCTGCAGAAAGATCTCTATTAGCTTCAAGAATGGTTGAAGAAATGACTGTAAAGATTCAATGTCAAGAAGTGAAAGAGGATGCACCTGGGTGGCACCAAAAGTAAGGAGGCGTATCACATGTCCCAACAGGACGAAGAGACTGTTTTAATTGAGACCGAATGTTAAAAGGACCCGGGTGTGTATGTCGACAATGAACTTGAGCTCTCAGACCAGTGTTGATTGGTTTAATGTGTGATGCTCGGTTACATGAAGTGATGGGCAAATAAAGTGGATATCTCAAGGTTGTGGTGTGGAGAGGGAACACCATGGCAGAATACATTTGTTACAGTAACTGTAAAGTGAATGAAAGGAGTCCATGTCCATTTGGTCACTCTGCACTACAGCAAGAGAGCAAGCAAAAAAGCTCTATAGAACATTTATGATAATTAATATATTGATTACTTGGCAAGCTTGGGACAGGAAACAATCCAGCTTTGCAAATACAGGGCTGTATTATAAATTTTGGAAGTTGTAAAATAATTAGTACCCTAATGAAAAGCATGACCTCACCTCCAAAGGCTGTTCCTTTCCAAACTCTTCCAGTTACGAGTTGGAATGGCCTGGTGGAGATCTCCTTCCCTGAAGCTGCAACACCAATGATGACACTCTCTCCCCAGCCCTTGTGACAGGCCTCCAAGGCAGCACGCATTACATCCACATTACCAATACACTCAAAAGTGTAATCACACCCACCATCCGTCATGTTCACAAGAACCTCTTGAATGGGACTCTTGTGGTCATTTGGGTTTACAAACTCAGTGCACCCAAATGGCTGGGCTGAAAGAAAAAACACTTGGATGAGCTTGAGTAAAAGTTATCTTAAACCTTACTGCAAGTATTGTAAACCTAACTCTTCAAAATATAACCCAACTGCAGGTCATCCTCTTTGTGGCAATTTCATATGATCAGGATACACACTTGCACCATTCTATTTTACTCCACAATTTTTTCTGCTGCACTAAAATCCACATGTAGTCAACAGCAGAAGTTTGTCTCAACCCACCTGCATGATATGGGGCAGGTGATCTGGTAACACTGTTTGGGAGTCAGAGTTGACATATGCTTCCCTTTAAATGGCTAGTTATTTAAGATTTATAATCAGGTTACCTATGAAAGTATTTTTTGTGTACTGTACAACTTAATTGGCATCAATCTGCACAATGTGGGGAAAACAATGTTATTGAAAAATATATGTTGCTGAAAATGCATTACAGTGAATGTGTCATTTGGCATGAAAAATACTTGTTGGTCATCAGCAGTACGAATAATCATATATGTTTGGCTCCCTAGTAATGAATTGTCCTGCAGCACTGTCGTATTTCTCAATAACATTATATTCCCACATTTTACACACTGATATTAGTTAAGGTACAAACAAGAAATGTATTCATAGACAATCTCCTGATCATGAATCTTAAATAACTAGTCATTTAAAGTATATATCAACTCTTCCCCATACAGTATTACCAGATGAACTCTTATATTGGGTGGGACAAACTTCAGCTGTTCACTGTACATGAGTGCATAAGTGTGCTTTTCATTTTTCCCATGCATCATACAATATGGGTAAACATCTCTCATCTTTCACACAAGAACACACCTGGAGATTCATGTGTGATGGCATTTCTTCTACAGTACCTGCAGATTTAACTTTGTCCTTTTGTCACTAATGATACGACACTTAAACGTGCAGCAACTTTGACTTATTGGTAACGGCAAAAAAAGTTAATGAAATAAAGGACTGATGGTACATTATACAATGAACCGTCAAAGATTTGGACCTGGTAAATCCAGATTTCGGAAGATTCGGACAACATTTGGATGTCCCGGGGGCTAAGAAGCACTCCCAAAACAGAGCAAAGATCATCTGAGGTCAGTGCACGGGACACAGGTGCCCAAGGAGAAAAACAAACAGTTGTCAATTGCTGTTTGTGGGAATATTATTTCATTCACTCTAGTAATGATACAATGTTTCTTATACTGTTATCATAGGTAAATGCATGGTTAGCTTAGGTTATCAGTGGCTGTCACGTTTCCAAATTAGACTACAAGACATGTATTTCTCCCATTATGTATTTCGATCATACACCTGGCAACAGGAGTGAGTGACCACTAGGTAAAGCATCGTCTTCTGTTGTAACTCCTCACTCCCTGCCATATTTCACTGGATTTACGGACAATCGGCTTTTTCGGACAGGTGGTCCCACCTTTTAGTCCGGATGTTCGCGGGTTCACTGTATCTACAAAGTGTTGGTTGTCTGTCGATGCCAAATTAATGATCTTCAGACTGTTCTGCCTATTCAATGCTACCTTCACAAATGTAAATAAAAACATATGTTGCTGATTATTTCTAATAAAATTTTCTCCTGTTTCCACTTGTTTAATGCATATTTTTGTAAATGCTTGTGATATATTCTATTAAGAGTTGTTTAATTATATTATTGAAAATATTTACAATTAAAATATAGGAAATATATTTATGCAGGCAACATGATCATCGGGCAAATATTTTCTATACATTTTCCCTGCACTGTGCTGTTTTGTCAAGCATTTCCCCACAGTCAAGCTTTGTAGTTGGTAAACAAGCCTTCTATGGTGTAGTTTGATATAAGAACTGTACTAGTATTTATAAAAAAAAATTAACAAATAGATTTGAAAAGAGGAGGAAATACTCTGCATGAATGCATTTGGGGATGTTGATGCATTTTTTAGGAAAATTTGTATTTATAAATGGAACTGGATATGCAAATATTAGAAAAAACAGCAAATTCTGACCCAGATTACAAACTTTGTATGAAACATCTACGTGATAATACCATCCAAAATTTCATTGCAGCATCTAAATTTGTTATAATGTTATAGAAAAGACAAAATAATTGTCAGATGTAAATTACTACTGTATACAGTATATGCCCTCAAAAATGACTAGGGCATTAAAATCAATACTCACCAAGCTCAAACTTGTTTGAGTTCAAGTCAATGCCAATTATGCGCTTAGCACCCTGGGCTCTACATCCCATTGCAACAGCCAAGCCAACAGCACCAAGCCCAAAGATGGCACATGTTGAACCAGGCTCTACCTGTAAGAGAGTTCCACACACATAATATAGCATCAATTCACTTTCATTTTATTAACAATCCCAACAACAAATTTTATGGTTTGAAAGTTAAAATACCATTTTCAAGAAGACCTTTACATTACACCTATTTTTAAACTAAAAATTTATTTCAGTGTAATACTTCAACACTGCACCATTCTTCAACAATCTGATCAATTTCCAAGACTACTCTATAGGTACAGTGCCAAGATAAGACTACAGTGGGTCCCCATTATACGTCGTTTCCCACTTCTGTCACTCGGCTATTCAGGAAAGATTTTTTTGATACAAGTCGTTTTTCTCAACTTACATCGCCCGCATCGTCTGCTTGGGTGAGTGAGGGAGCTCGAGGATGGTGATCCCATTGGTCACGTGAATCTTAAAACTTTATTTGTGTAATCCTTCCTCATTTATGGTAAAGGTGGACTTGGTGGTAAAATTGAAAGTATCAAGAAGAAGGAGCAAACGAGTGAACAGGTGCTCCTCTACTTAAGAACATTCAACTTACAAACTTTCAGAGATACAAACATTATCACTGAGGGGGGGTTACCTGTCATAACAGGTGCTTAATGTGGATGAGACTGGATTATTTTGAAGAAAATTCCAGATAGAACAAACATTACCTAAGAGGAGAAGAGTGAGCCAGGTTTTAAGGCTGTATTAAAGTGTATATCCGTAATCTATTCATTTTTTTACAACATGTTTGGTATCTACAAGAGTAAAGTTGGACTTACAAACAAGTTTCAGGAACATAACTCGTTGGTAAATAGAGGAGCACCTGTACAATGCTCGTAATAAAGAAAAGGGTGATAGAAAGGATGTGTAATGGTGAATGCATCCGCTAGGCCACGGTAGGACGCCACCCTCCGGGAGGCTCCACATTGTCTCACTGTTCAGTCCCCAAAACAACTTCTTCCATCAATAGTTCATTAACCGTGTATGTAAGTTCAACCATGTTTTTCACTACAATGGTACAGCAAAGTATATTTTTTTAGCATTATAATATTATTTTATTGTCTAATCATCACTACATATAACATCACAACCAATAACAGAGCTTTTCACAGTCACGTAACTTTTTAGCAATTTTAACCCTATTTTTGGCCCAATTTATTTAAAAAATATTACCAGAGTGAATTTAAGTGTTTTCTTTACCCATTGACCTGCCATCTTACAAAAAAATTCTGACTGACAACTCTTCTATGGGATGGCGTACCTCCAAAAGTACTAATTTTTGCCAGAAATGATTCATGTGAAACTGAAACACTATTAAAAATTTATTTTTGAAAGTAATTTCCATAAATGGCCACTGCAAAATATATACTGTATATATATAGCCACCTCACTAATTTCTTAAAACTTCTAAGTACTAGCATCTTTATCTCATAGGTTCAAGTTAGGAAAAAATGTAATTAACCATACTTTATATACCAATTACCTTGAACTTGAAACATATTTCCCTAGTGCATGAATGTAACTGGTAGCTAGAACATGCAAATATATTCCTGTAAAGTACTGTACTGTGTTTACCTTAGCAGTGTTGACAGCTGCACCATAACCTGTGCTCAATCCACAGCCAAGCAGACAAACGCTTTCAAGAGGAGCAGAGTCATTGACCTGTTGGTAAGGAGAAATAGTAGACTGGCTTCATTTGTGCCCGAGTTCAGGCCAAGTGACTATGAATTACACCTGGCAAAGCCTACTGTGCTCAGCCCCAAGAAATACCTCAGCAAGGCTTGATCAAACTAATACACAAATCAGTTTGAATATACTTCCCAGCCACATTGCAAGAACTGGATAAAACGATTACCATTTAAACCAGAAGGTTAAGTCCTGGACACTATGTAAGCTAAGCAATAAATCTGATCATTATTTGTTTGTCAGTGGAATCTTCATGGGTTTATCCACTTAGTTCCAGCTACATCATAACAGCTGACACAAATCTTTAGCTCATTTACCATTTGCTTTGAATGGTTCCTGTATTCAGTTCTCCCCTCTAAGAGTGTTGCAGAGACTACCACCACAGGTTTGGCCTTGTATAACTTATCATTAGCTTGGAGGAACACAAAACTAACAGACTTAAACATTCTGAGCATAATCTAACTACTGGTGCTTGAACTTACATAAGAGCTACTTGCAAAGTAAAGATACTTTAACAATATTATACAAATTTCTTCAAATTTTGGACTTGACACAGTAATGTTTTGGAACTTTGAATGCAATGGTGTAATTTAGTTTCTCCACCAAAAACAAATATATAATAATAAAATTTCACCTTGGCAACTGATATCTCAGATACAACAGTATACTGAGAGAAAGTGGAGCATCCCATGAAGTGGTAGATTTGCTTGCCCTTACAAATAAACCGTGAGGTCCCATCTGGCATAACACCTTTGCCTTGTGTTGCTCTGATCTTGCCACATAAGTTCGTCTTGGGCGACAAGCAGAACTTGCATTCACGGCATTGAGGGATATAGAGAGGAATAACATGGTCACCTGAAAAAAAAAAATTATTTATATATACTGTATATATATATATATATTCATTATCAAAATTGCCTACCATGTTTACATGGAATGTCATCCAATCAATCAGGTGCTCATGACATTTTACCACATAGCCAAGTTGAAAAATTATCATAAATATTTTACATTCATACATGCTTACATTTTTAAAAAGGTGCCTTACCAAGCCAATCCACACAACTATAAGGCATTTTAAACCTACTTTACATTTCCTCCATAAGCTCTATGACCACCATTTTGGGACCTTTTAAATTTTGGTAGCCCTATTATGAACCAATGGTGCTGTACTATGAGAGAACTTTACATCTGTTGATGTTGTTTCTCACACCCCATTGACCTTACCTCTCACACCCCACTGACCTTACCTTCTTTGACTGAAGTAACTCCCTCCCCAACACTCTCTACAATGCCACCTCCTTCATGTCCCAAGATAACTGGAAATATCCCCTCTGGGTCATGACCATCAAGTGTGTAAGCATCAGTATGACAGACTCCTGTTGCCAGTACCTGTATAAAAAGGAAAACAAATCATAAATATTCTGAAACATTATTAAACTCACTAAACATTATGAAAGCAATAGAAAAGGGAGATTACAAAAAGATCTTTAAACAATTAATAGAGTAAAAAAAATATATAAAATAAATCGATCCATCGGTGTACAAATTTATGAATAGTTCAACTACAAACTTAATGAACGTGAAAGACAGCCGTGAAAAATGATATTTCAAAGCCCATGACTTCATTTGACAACCATCACAAACTGAAATTGTAACAAAATACAGTACAGTACATTTCAAAATTAATTTTTAGGCAGTTTCGGCCCTTGGCACACACTTTTTACACACCCTGACTCAACATCCGCGCCAACTTTTAATCACGTCGAATTGGCACTGACACCAGCGCAGTACAATAAACTCTTGATAACTCGGCATTCGATATCTTGGAATTTCATATAACTCGGCACAGATATGGTCTCGGAATTTATTATAAAATAACTCGGGAAAGGCCAAGTTATATAAAATTATCTGGGAAAATCTTTGCATATTTGGCCAAGTGGGTAACACTCGAAGCGTTTCACTCCACGCTTGGTCAGTCTGGTGTTTGTTATTGTTGTGGTTAGGTGGAAATATTCGTCCATTGTGACACATTGTATCAATGAAGAAAGAGCCCAATACTTTTTGGGGAGTGCTGTATACACACCTGAATGACAATGACGAAAAACCATTCTAGTACTACAGGTTTATACAGTAACGTACCTTGATGCGGACTTCTCCAGCTTTTGGAGGAGAAACTTCTACATCTTCTAAGGTCAATGGTTTTTCCTTCTCCCAAGCAACAGCTGCTTTACATGTGATGACCTGCAAAATTGAAATAAAGTTAATAGTGGGCCTAGGGGGCAAAAAAATAAGAGTAAAAAGAAATTAAAAATAGAAAAGAAAAAGAGTATATTAATCTACACCACGGTGCAGTAAAGCACTACTTTATGACATCTTTTTGGATATATCTATCCTGAATGTTTATTTTGATGCACAAAATGCAAAATTGGTGTTGGAACAAGTAAAAATTGGAAAGTACAATATAATTATGAGAATGATATTTGAATAGTCAACAGAGACCAGTCTACTTCTATGGTACAGTAAATAAACAAACCAATTTTCCTATTTTTCTGATTTTTGCACCAAGAAGTTACAGCAGCTTATCAAAAAGATTTCAGAAAATTCTTTAAGGCTAAATGTCAGGTGATCGATTGCCAATAAGGCTAACAAGCTCATCAGTGGTGAAGAGGATAAGTAAAGTATTATTAACCTGGCAGAGATCTTCTGTAATTTTACCCAGAGGCATTTTATAATTTTTGGACATTCACATACTTAACCTTGTTTCTTCACCAGATTAGCATTCTATACATTCAAAGGAACATCTAACAGATCTCATCTAATAAATTGTACAATAAGGGGACATCCTTGACCTACAAAATAAACTCATTTGGCTGTCTAATCAATTTCTCTTAAGTGAAAACAAACTTTACTCTTAACTGAAACCATTTTATACTAATTTTTTAATCACAGGTTAATAAAAGGACGGGTTATTTGACTCTTTATCTGGATGAATGGCAACTGGTTATTTAACCAGGATCTAAAATAAAACAAAGTATTTTTGGCCACAGAAAATTCTACATATTTTATTGATAATTTCAAACTATTAGAAAAAATGTAGAAACAATACTGCACATGCAAAATCAAGGATACAAGGACGATAAAATCAGATCAAATTCTTTATCCATTTAAGAAAACTTACAACTCGATGTTTAATTTATGATACATTCCCGGATAAAAGTTCTCGATACAATCCAGTTGGAGGGTGAAGTGTCCGCCCTCACCCTTACTGGACGGCGGGTCCGCTGTCCGGACATTGCTCCACCCCTCCCCCAACACACAGACAAGCACCCAAGCAGTTCAACAATCGAGCTCTGATACTTCCATTTCTCAATAATGACTGGGAAAGTATGTAACCGTTTTGTTTATTAAAATTCACCCAATCGAGTTTTACATTACTTGACATATTAGATTACGTCATTATTAGATAATCATGAAATAATGGAGCATGTGTGTCTTGGTGGCTGGGGTTCACAACAATAATACCAGAATCCTCCAAGCTGTATTGTCCCTCAGAATGGTAGCCAGAAAACTAAGCATGAATGTGAAGAATAATATGGTTCATAAAACTAAGCATGAATGTGAGGAATAATATGGTTCATAAGATAATGCTTTATCACCCTCCGTGATAATGGCCTTATCATAGGGTCTACCGCACGCAAATAACCTTGACTCGATCCCTACAATGGAGAAGATGATGGGTATATTGCCGACATATGAGCGACACCATTAATATGAATGCGTGTCACAACATCATTGATTAGGGTTGGATGAAAAAAATAAGGTAAAAGCAGCATGAGCATATTTTATTAATACTGTACTGTACTGTAGTAATAATCATATATGTAAACATAAACATTGCCTAGCTAATTTTATATACAGTACAGTAAGATCTTGTATTTTGCGACTATTATACTGGAAAAATTGCGCCAAATTCAAATTCGCCAAATGCACATACATAAACTAATGGGATCAGTAACAGTATAGACTGGCCACTCTACATCAACCTCTGATTTTCCCCATTTATAACCTCCAAATGATACAAATTCTGCCTTTATTAACCTGATTTCCAGAAACTAGTTTTTAGGCCTTCAAGTAATTTAATCACACGCTGCTTATCCTGCATCGAGTACTTGGCAAACTTAACTCCCTTATGATAGTCCCGTTTCTCCTTTTTCTTATTTGGCCCCTTAGATGAGTCCGTCCCACCCCCACCAGCAGGACCCCCAGTAGAGGTAGAGGCCATTATCTTGACTCAACAGGTGGTAGCACCACCCAAAAAAGCACACAATAGCAGCCCGGGTGGTCGCTAGGATGGAGCAGGCTACAGCGCGATAGTTGCGCTCTTGTAAACCTCTTTTACGTTCACCACTGGCAATTCGATCACCACAACGATTCTTGGAAAACAGCGAAAATCACTGACTAATCGACAGAAACCGCGTGATTCAACTGATCACGTGATGTAAACAGAGAGCGCTGGTGTAAGCCATAACAGTATTTGGTCGTCACTGCGAAACATTATTTTTATTTATTCTTTTCATACAGTATTAATGGATAACAGCTAAATTGGCCAAAAAAAAAACGTAATTTACAGTTCCTCTCAAAAAACGCTTCACAAACAAGACACGAATCCATTGAACATGTGATGTCGAACGTGAAATGTAAACATTGCATAACTCCTCTTAAAACAGTGAGGATGGAATCACGCTACAGCCAACATTCATATGCAAAACTTTGCATTTTACAAACAGAGTTCCCCTATTCACCAATCGCGTTACAACCAATTCGTGTTGACAAAACACGCATTGTAGCAGAAATGACTAACTGGTATGAGGGCTGTGACGTCATTCAGGATGGCACCCAGCATTCAGCTTGCTGGATCTCACGAAACTCTCGATATGATAGGCCAAATATAAGACATGGTACCTAAATTCCTTAGCTGAGGGACAGACCCGTCATAGTAAACAGAAAGTACTTAAACAGAAAGTACTTAGCCAATCAGAGGGCCAACTAATTACCCAAATGTAGCAGCAATGAAGTCAAATAATGGTCCTACATGAATAAATCGGATTGCCAACCACTTCTCTACTAGTATTTGGTGTCACAGTCACAAAAAATTGGAAAACTTAATTTAAACTGAGTTAATAGATCGCGTGCTTGTACCAAGTGAGCGAGTAATTACTCAAATGAACCCAAATGTAGCCGCAATGAAGTCAAATGATGGTCCTACAAGTGTAAATCGGGCTGTGAATCACTTCTTGATTATTATTTGGTGTCATAAAGTCACAAAAAATTGGTAAACTTAATTTAATCTGAGTTGTGATAGGTTAGGTTAGGTAAGGTACATGCACTCGATCTATTAACTCAGATTAAATTAAGTTTACCAATTTTTTGTGACTTTATGACACCAAATAATAATCAAGAAGTGATTCACAGCCCGATTTACACTTGTAGGACCATCATTTGACTTCATTGTGGCTACATTTGGGGAATTAGTCGGACCCGAACTTAACCGGTCACAGCAAATATCTACAATAAAAACTATAAAGTTTACTTTATTCATGTTTTCGGTGTTTAGTAGGTGATGGTGTTTCCGGTGCTCAGATGAGGAGGGATCCATAAACTCGAGAGATTTTTAATATTTTTACAGTTTAGGAAACGTTATGTAAGGTTTTCAAAGGTTTGTTTGGTGTTCTTTTTAGTATTGTTCAAATTATTAAAATCCACTGATAAATAAAAGAAAAAACCTGCAGCCATAGATAGAAGTATTCCCAAGTCAAGTTTAATGTGGTTATACTGAACAGTAATTTGTTAAGGTGTATCCTTACAGTGCAGTACTGGGTGTGTCAAGACATAAGGCACCCTACAGGCCATCATATACAGTCCCAGCTGTATTACAACCTATTGTCTTAATAACAGCGTTAATTACAATCATCTCCAATAAGTTCTACACTAGATATTTTAGTGTTAAATAGCCCAAACGACTAAGGAGCCTATCAGTGGTGTAAAGTATATATAAATCACACATCATCATCCTGGCCTTGACAAATACAGGCGCCGGCCGGTTTCATGTATCACCATATTTATACCTTTTAATGCACGTGATTCTTAGATTTTGTCTTTCCTGAATATCCCTGGGATTTACATTTATATCACACAAATAAAATATCAGTTAATATTTTATTTATAAAGGCCACAATTAGAGTTTACTAACCTGACCCTTGGTAGACATGACTCACGCCTGACAACAACTAACGCCTCTGCGAGATGACTGGTGACCACGGTGGCTGGTGCGGTGTGTTGCTTCCCGTCTTTTTTATTATAGTCTTTGACGGGAACTTGTGGAGAGCTAAATTAGCGAATAATAATAATAATAATAATAATGATGATGATGATGATGGTAATAATAATAATAATAATGATGATGATGATGATGATGATGGTAATAATAATAATAATAATACAAATAACGATAATAATATTAGTATTTATAATAATAATAATAATAACGATAATAATAATAAAAATAATAATATTTCTTTCTCATTTCTAATTTATAATAAAGACTTTCTAGATATTTTAAGTATTTTAGTTGAGTTGGCCACGGTGACTACCAAGAGTTACCAGGTGAAGGTAAAGACAATCCCCTGTTGTTCTCTGTGCCAAGACGTACAGTATGTTGTCCCTTTTGTGATTATTTTGTCAATATTAAACTAGAAAGGATCTATAACAAATGAAAATAAGCTTAGTGAGAACTGTAAACTGCCCAGTACTTGCCAACAGGGTAGAGATTAGGTCTGGTAAAATTTTTGTTTCAGTCATAATTCAACGTAATCCAACTTGATGTAACCTAACCTAACCTAACCTAACCTAACCACACAACCCAGGAACTATATCTAACTGAGAGGGCTTCGACCGGTAAATTTGCTTTTAATTGCCATACTCCACTAGACAACAAAATTATGTCTTTCTGATGGTTTTTTATGAGTTTTGAACGATTATGACCCTTCATCTCCGTCGGAAATCACTCGTTTCTGAGATATCGCCCCGGTCCGACTAATTACCCAAATGTAGCCGCAATAAAGTCAAATAATGATCCTACATGAATAAATCGGACTGCCAATCACTTCTCGATTATTATTTGGTGTCAAAGTCACAAAAAATTGGTAAGCTTAATTTCATCTGAGTTAGGTTAGGTTAGGTTAGGTTAGGTACATGCACTCGATCTATTAACTCAGATTAAATTAAGTTTACCAATTTTATTTGACTTCGTGACACCAAATACCAGTCCAGAAGTGATTGGCAGTCCGATTTATTCTTGTAGGACCATTATTTGACTTTATTGCGACTACATTTGGGTAATTAGTTGGACCCATATCGCCCCCCTCTACCCCTCCCAAAAATGGGGGATTCCTGACGATAATGAAGGTCATAATCTCTGTGCTAACACAGAGAGTTCCATCTCTCATAATTTTTAATGTTGTGGGACTAGTGTATTGTATTACTAACCTTGTTATATGCTTAAAGACCTTTGTTGTTGAAATGCAGTACAGTACTGTAATAACATAATAAAAACAACAAGGTGCTTATTTTTCTCCTATACAGAGACACTTCAAGAAAAGATGGATCTTGGGCATGAGCAATCCTCAATGGAAGAATACAGCTATGTTGTTGTGGGCGGAGGCATAGCAGGTGTTACCTGTGCTGAACACGTAAGTTATGGATCCACTTGTAAGGTTCTGCCTTTAATAATAATTTTTCACTTAGAGGCTGCATAGGACAGACTCAGGAAAATGCAGGAATAATATGATTAGGTCTCTTATATTGATTGATATGTACAAATACAGACACAAATTGAAGCAATAAAAACAATACAGTACGTACTGTAAAATATGGAAAACACAATACCGTACAGGCAAACCTTGAGATACAATGCTATTACGTTCCTGAAAAACCCATGGGTTCAATGGGATGCATTCCCAACCAGTCCCCAAACACACATGTATCACCGACAAACAAATCCTACAATACTACTATTAGTACAAATCAATTTAATAACACTTACATGTCCCTTTCGAGGCTAAGGGGACTCTTGTAGGTGGAGTGAAGATGTCACTCAGACTCCCACACAACCTCTGTGGAGTCCAGAGAGGCTGGAGCCAGAGTGGGAGTCGGAGTCCAAGAAGAGGATTCTACAGTGGGGGCTGGAGGTGTAGGCTTTGGCTTGGTTTTAAAGAGGATGAAGTTCCTGGCTGGGACTGGAGAGGTGTCAGAAGTCGAGGGTTGTGACTCAGACTGTGGCAGGGGGTTGGAGAAGGAGTTAATTGTTGTCTGGCACACCTCAATATTTTTAATACATTTCTTTCTGATTGTATTATCTATTTGTATGTGTTTTGTGTGTGTGTGTGTGTGTCTACACATACACACACATATATACAATACAGGAGGTAAAAGAAATAATTGTACTAAGGGCAAACATAAAGGGAATATACATTTCTTTGTACACAAGTAAAAATGTAAGCTCTCCCCCCCCCCCCCGCAGTCATTAAATGTTATTCGCGGATTTGGGGATTCGCGGCCATTTTGAAAACCTAACCTCTGCGAATTTGAAGGGCATGCTGTATTTACAACACATAGTTTGTACTAGACATAAAATTTCCAACCAATGGATATCGATGGCTATCACTAAAGCGATTTGTTTTGATCCTATATAGGGAGATAGTCTTAATTTATAACCATAGTTAAATTGGAATATCACATCTCAGGATATAGTATTTCGAGGTTTACCTGTAATGTACTTTTGTGTCTGGCAGTGCTCTCTAGCTTACATCATCAGGTACCATGCACTGCATGATAGTAGGCAGCTACCAAACAGGGAGGTACTTCCACCTGGGAAGATATTACAAGCATAATGTATTGTCTAATGGTAGACCCTACTGCCATATGGTATCACGAAAATTGTGACCAAGTTCCAGGTTGCTGATCTGACTTTCTGCCTCATTTACACACAATTGCAGGCTCTCAATTGTTTCTCTTACTATCGACAACACAACATACATACAGGTACATTGTTTCTCGCTCTTGATTTTTTTTTCATTTTTGCATTTCTTTATGGTTCTTTATTACTACAGTATTATTATTATCATTATCATTATTAATATTATTACATTATCGCCCCCCAGGCCCCGATGTGGGTCAGTGACCTGTGCCCGGGTGGGCTAATCCTCGAAAAAAAATAAAATTAGGGGTTCGGGATTAACGGTTATCCCGAAAGTCGGTTAATTGAGGTTTTACTGTATAACATATGATCAAAAGTGACCATTGACGGAGCAGCGATGGCAGGCATGGTGACGATCGAGAGCAATGGAGGAGATGGTGATAGAAAGTGACGAGCAGCTAGGTGGCGATAGAAAGGAAATTGTCAATTGGAAGTGACAATTGGAAGAGTGGGAGAAAAAGAGACAGTGGTGATTGGTAGTGACAGTGGACAGAGCGGTAATGGAAAGGACAGTGGCGATTGAAGGTAATGGTTAGACGGAAGGGACAGGAAAATAGGAAGTAGTGACCTGTGTGGATGGATTGGTGAAGAGAACAGAGTTGAAGATTTGAATGTGAAGGACTCTTATCATGCCATGTACACCCACTAAAAAATTATTCGGCACCCGTGTCATAATGCATCACGTCGTAAGGGTGCCGAATAATTTTTTATTGGGTGTACATATATTCTTGTTATTGTTTTGTTGAAAATTTAATTATTAATTGAAAACACAATTACAAACGTAAGCGTTGCTCCTGTTATCAAACTACCAATACATAAGGCAACCCTACACATAATCACATCTCTGACACATGAGTCACTTGGTTATTGGTTTGATCATAAAATGGGCTTTATGAACAATCCTTCATGTCTCACTTAGTACAGTACAGTACTGTATGTCATCAATAAACAGAACACGAGATGCCTGAATGTGATTATTATTTGAATATAAAGCTGGACATCAGCAGAAATCATGAATATAAACCTCTGGCTATCAACATAAGTTTTTATTAGGAGAGACATACTGTATACAGTATACTGTACCAGGGTGAATAAACATCCCTAGGTGTTTAGCCCTTAGAATTCTTTGAGGCAAGTCTCATGGTAGAGGATAATTCTCATCACCATTATTTTAAGTTACTGTTGAGTGTGAGTATCTTTATTGTTTGCTGAAAATTAAATGAGAACAGTATTTCTCCATTGTTGGTTCCTTACAGTTGTACATCCTGCATCCTGAGGCTGAAATTCTGGTCATTACTGCCACACCCCTTATAAAGGCCGTGACAAATGTCTTACCTCTGACTAAGACCTTGGACTCATTTGATGTGGAGGAGAGACCAGCAGAGGAACTAAAGAATAATTGCCCAAATGTGACAGTTGCCAAAGATACTGTTGCTCACCTTGATGCTGACAAACAGGTGAGACAAGTATGAAATAAGACTACTGAGCTTAAGAATACTGGACAGTACTGATAATATGTAAACTGGAATCAAACTGAAAATTATCTTTGTTTCAGTGACTGAATAAATTCAATTCAATAGATTCTACTCTAGTTATTACCCGTACTGGTAGTTACTTTGTTGAAGTAGAATATGTGAAACAAAACACATAGTACCATATCCTAAATTTATTTTAGATTTTTATTTGCTAAAATGCTAATTAACATTTATAGTAACACTAGAAATTATAACAATAACTTTATTTGTATTTTGTTTAAATATAAAGTCTTGTGCTGTACTGTAGTGTGTTAATACATAGTACAGTACAATATAGCATTGGCACAAGTTTGTGATTTAGTACAGTACTGTACTTGTATATATACTTGTTGTAGATCATGATTAGTTACATCGCTTCTTACAGGTTATCTACACATCTGGTGGTAGATCTTTTGCATATAAAAAGTTATGTGTGTGCACAGGAGCCAGCCCAAAGTTGATAGACAACAGTCCACATGTTGTCTGGATACGTGATACTGAGTCGGCATGTCAGTTTCAGTCACGTATTCAGAAGGCCAAGAGAATTCTCATTGTAGGGAATGGTGGTATTGCCACAGAAATGGTTTTTGAAGTTACAGGTAATTTTATAATCTTTGCCTTTTTGTACTGTAATACTGTTTGTTAATAGAATTAGATGTCTATTTTACTTCTTATCCATACTCTGAAACTACAGTACGTACAGTACTTGTACAATACAGTAAAACCTCGCTAAGGCGAACTAATTTGGGGGAAGGGGTGTCCGGGATAAGAGGTTGTCCGCCTTAGAGTCCAAGATCAAAGTTTTTCCAAAAAGACTTATGACCACCCAGACCTACGACCGCCTCAGTAGTACCCAAATTTTGTCAAATTACGTATTTTCGAGTCCCAACGTCAGTGATTGCACTGTGCGCTTTTAAAGTGAATTACAAATTTTCGTTTGTAATTCACTTTAAAATGGCTGGCAAGCTTAAAAGTGAGAGTTTTGTGGTGCTGAGAAGAAAAAGAGACACCCATTTTAGATTTTCTATGTATTATTTCAGCATTTTCTACTTACAATCATTTCGACTTACAGCCTGGATTTGGGTCCCTAACCCCGTCCTAAGTCGGGGAGGAGCTGTATCCAATTTTTTTTATGAAAGAAATACATGTTTTTAATATAAATTAATTTTAAAAAGTAATGTACATAAATTACTGTACACTTACTTTTAGTTCACTGATAAGGTCTTAGGCTTAACCTTCTCATCATCCTTATGGATATCAAACATTTTCTTTGGGCCATGGTTATTGTTTAATTTTTTAATAATGATGAAAAAATATGTTTGCTACATCAGCCTGCAGTGAATGTACTAAATGTATAAAAATGATAAATAATGACATAAAAAACACCCAAAATACAGTACGGTATTTTACGGTAGGGAGTATTTAGGAAAAAACTTATTTTCCTCCTGTAGCCATAGTTTTCTTAAAATAGTATACAGTACCAGGAAATGTGAGGAATAAATAAAAATGATAAAAAAATAGTGTATCGCCATATCAGTAAATAAAAGCCAACTGGAAGTTCAACACAGCCACCATTTGCAAATTACTCCCTGTTTCACCATAGTAACGAACATCAGCTGGCACTCCAATCCCTTAGCGACGCCCCTCCCCCCTCTATACTCTGCGACCGTCTTCCCCTCCCAGACTCAGCCGGCTAACTTGTGTGCAAAGAAATGTATACCCTGTATATTCCCTTTATTTGTTTACCCTTAGGACAATTATTTCTTTTACTTTTTTCACAATATGTATGTAAGATGGTGTGTGCAGGTAACTGAGTAAAGATAAATGAAGAAAGTTACGTATATCTACCTGAAAATACGAATTGAAAAACAACCATAGCACCATAGCTTGGCCCAGTAGCCTGGTGCTAACAGTGACAATGTTTAACCTGGCTACAATGCCATGGTTAATTGTTAATAAACACTATTATATCAGTAAACACTAATAATAACAGTAAATACAGTGAAATATGGCAGGGAGGGAGGAGAGATACAACTGCAGACTACGTTTTAACTAGAGGTCACTCACTCGCTCCCGGGCTCCCATTGCCAGGCGTACAATCAAAATACAAATGAGAGAAATACATGTCTAGTAGTCAAATTTGAAAACGGTGATGAGCACAGCGATAAACAAATTACAGTATATAAACCATGCATTTACCTATGATAACATAGTAAGAAACATTGTATCATTACTAGAGTGAAATAATATTCCCCCCCCAAAACAAAAATTGATAACTCTCGGGCACCTGTGTCCCACGTGCTGACGCCTTGGTCCCTTGAAATTTTGCAGATACAGTGGTCCCTCGGTTAACGAGCACAATTCGTTCTAGAAGGTTGCTCGTTAACCGAAAAATTTGTTAACCGAAACCATTGTTTCAATGGGTTTTTGGGTAATTGGTTCCAGCTCACCGAAAATTGCCTAAAGTCAACAAAAAAGGTAGTAAAGTACACTTACTTTGAGGTGTGTATGTAGAAGGCTCATGGATGATGATGATGATGATGATAATGGGGGTGGAGGAGAAGGGAGCAGAGAAGGCATTGGGGTGGAAGAGAAGTCACCCCATGGCACCATTTCACCCATAAAATTTTAGTTCGCTTGGTGTAAGTCAAGATTATTTTCTTTAAATCAACACTGCACTGCATTATATATTGTCAATATGTAAAATAAATTTCAAAATGACCAAAAATTTGACTGGAAACACAGAAAAAAAGCGTTTATGTTGAAGAGAGTCTGAAGCAAGATGTTACCTGAACTGAAAAGACACAGAGACTAACGCCTGTATGGTGTGTTGACAGGCTGTTTGGCGCGCTAAAAACTAGTTTCCCTGTACTTAAATTATGTTAAATAATTGTTAAAATGACTAAAAATTTTAATATAAAACTTTTAAAATTATTGAATAGTACAAACTTCTTGATATTTACTAAAATAGTAAGGAATTTAAGCCCTAGAACCGATTACTGTATTGGTGGACTAATACTACAGCTGGTGGGCAGCCAAATGCGGGCGAAAACATGTTGGGAAAAATTTGTAAGAATTTGTTAATCGAGGGAATGCTCGTTAACCGAAGTTAAGAATCTTATGGAAGGTAATTCGTTAACCGAAATTTCGTTAACCGAGGGATCACTGTATGTCATCGGAGGAAATTTTTTTTTGTTTTTTCAATTTTTTAATGACAGTATTAAAATTGTGAATTATTTTTAGGAAAATAATTATGTCCGGCTTAAGCGATGTCCGCCTTGACGAGGTTTTACTGTTTATCAAAATTTAGTTTAGCGTGTTTAGTTTGTAAAGTTGAATTCTGTGACTAAAACAAGTGAAATAAATTGCTTTGTGTGATGAGTGCATGGCTCCTAGCTGGAACATTTCATTCACTTCTGTGGTAGAGGATATGGTGATCACAATCTTCTTTGATCATAGTTGATATTAGCAAGAGATAGTTACTAAAAGACAAAAAAATGCACTACAGCACAACACTACGCTCACACACTTGACAAAGCACCACCTAAACCTCATCCTATAATGTAATTACTATCCCCACAGACACATACATAACATCAGTGCAAACTTTTAAACTAAACAGCATGTTGAACACCCCCACCAGATATCCACATTTCAGAAATTGTCTTCCCCAAAGAAATGAGAGTATTGTACATCCCACAAAAGTATGTTGTGGACACCATCCATCTATCAATTAGTATTGACATGATATCCAGCTGACCCTAAATCCACTCTGTCTTTATTATAGAAACACACCGCAACTCATCTACTTACAACAAATCAAACAATTATGTACTACAGACATTTCTTCAGCTTAATTTCCATAAATGATCTCTGGGAGTGACTGGTGATAGTTGTTTGATATCTGAGGCTCATTGATTTTATATGCATGTACAGCACAGGCTACAACAGCAGCAGCAATTAGTAGTTGAGAAGCAACCAAATGTTTTAATTACTGATATGCACGAAAATTGTTAGCTTTGTGAAGTACATTAGCACAGACAAGTCAACTCACAAATTACTGTATCTTTAAAATGATTACAGGTTTGCAAATTTTATGGGTCATCAAAGATAAGTTCATGACCGCAAACTTTATTGATGCTGGAGCTGCCGAATTTCTTCGACCAGAGTTAGATAAGGAGAAGAGTGAAAACACTTTCCCACTGAAGAGAAGAAAGTACACGGTGGATAAGATGGAGGTTGGTAATTAATTTTTATTTTTCACCAAAACCACATAGTGATAATGTTAACAGAACTGAACCTGATTATAGCATGTAGGGTGAATTAATATGAAGCATTGTAAATCAATGTGGAGGTTGTGACAGTACAGTACAGGGGGTCCCCCAAGTTAGCAGATTTTTATTTCGCGGTCCTCTATTGTTCGTGGATGACACCCTGGATGTACCCAAGAATATCTGTGGTTAGTTTTAAAGTTGCCGGCATTTTTGCAGCCGGGACAGGGAGCCATTTTTTCTAGATACAGTAATTTCCTTTACTTGTATTGTAAATATGTGTGTGTGTGTGTGTGTGTGTGTGTGTGTGTGTGTGTGTGTGTGTGTGTGTGTAGACACACACACACAAAACACATACAGTACAAATAGATAATAATTGGAAAATCCTCTTACAAATAATCAGAAAAAAATATTAAAAAAGTGAAGGTCTACCCTCAAGTCCGTGCTTTATTACTTTATTAATTTTGCACAGACTTGAGGGTAAACTGTCACATTTTTAATGAATTTGTTTCTGATTATTTGTGAGAGTATTTTCCCATTATTATTTATTTTTATGTGTTTTGTGTGTGTGTGTGTGTACACATACACGCATACAAGTACGTATACAGTATAGTCTCGATTTACGCGGATTTCCTTTACGCGTTTGGTCATTTACACGGCACCTGGCCAGACCGGCAATTATTCCATCATTTACGCGGGAAGCGGCGCTGTCAGGGTGCGCACTAGGTCGCCCAGTCAACAAAATATTAAGGAGTTCTTCACCCGCCACTCACCACAGCCAGCCCAAGTCAGTGATAGTGAGGATATGGACTTTGAGGGGTTTGAGAAAGAGGCCCTGGATAGTGATACAGGTGATACAAGTGATACAGGTGAGGGCCAATAATCTGCCCTCTGCCTCGGAACCAACCCCCCATCCCCGTGTGCCCAGCCATCTCTTCTAATGTAAGTGTTAAAAAACCTAATATTATTGATATTTCTCTTGACAGTCAGCTGGTATGCAGCTACCGGTCCCTGGTAGCTGCCGGGTATTCAGCTAACACCCACTCTATGCCTGGAGATGAGTTGAGGAAGAGTCACGAGCATATTAAAATGGTCTAACTTCAACCACACATAACATACGTCTGGCAACAATACAGACGATACTTATGTTTCTTTAATTATACTTGGCACACGATCATTTCACTATGTTAAAACATGAACACTGATATTCACAAAATTCAGCTGAGTTAAACTGACTTTACATGACGGCGGGAAACAATCGTTCACATACCTGGAGATGCATTGAGAAAGAGTCACGAGCGTGTGAGTCTTCCTCGTGCATTAGTTTATATATGGGCATCTGGCAACTCGGGCTTGTGCAGGCATGCCAGAAGAGCTAATCTCACAAACGACAGAAATTCGATTCAACTCAGTCGCTGTACATTCAACTATGAAAATCAGTGTCATGGGTCAGGTGAATTTCTTATGTCTATTTTTATAATCTAATCAGCGATTGAACTTGCCAGGAAAAAGTGAAATGGGCATCAAATACACACGCTGTTAACGTCATTCTCACAACATCAGCGGGATTTCTAGACAAGGACCCTCTATGGGTATACGTTGAGATCTTGGAGATAAGAGTGTGACATATTCTTTTCAAGAGATTAGTGACTTTCTTAAATAGACAACTGACAATAATCAAACTAAAAATATCAGATTCTCTGGGGGTTGGGAATCAAAATAATCTAACTTCAGTAGCAATTGGAAACTCATGGTTATCCCCAAGGACGATATCACGGGATACCATTCGTACTGGTAGACTTGACACTCACTTGACAAGTGTTACTAACAATAAAGACAGTTGAAGCTTTCAACATCACTCACAAAGGATCTTCAATTATTTATCTGTAATCAGACATATCTAAATTGACTCAAAACAATGGTGTTCTCTCTCACATTCAAATTTACTTAATAGAGAGGCTGGTTTCAGGAAGTCAGAGAAAATGGACGGCACTTAAGCTAGGGAAAACGCGTTTTTTCCTAGGGATAACTCCCCAGTTATCCACATGTTTTGAGGGCGTTGAGCATAATATGAATCATCAGGTTTGAAACAGACCAGCCGTGCCATTGTGACCATGACGGGGAGAGGGAGGGAGGGGGAGCTGAGGTGATATGTTTGACAGTTGGCGCCGAAGGTCTAATGCGTATTTATTTTTCAGTCCTTAAGAGTGACTAAGTTTTTCTCTTAAAAATGCCACTGAAGTAACCTGGGAGAATATAATTTACATTGCTGGGATTCTTGTAAGATAATGATTAATTTGAATATAAACAAGCTATAATTTGCACTAAACATAAAAATTTTAGTACAGGTATTGTAGTCATTTAGTACTGTATACACTACAGGTTTGCACTTAGGTCATTTATTTCTTTTACGTTTCTTATAGTACGGTCTGTGCATGTAAATGAATAAAAATAAATTAAGAAATTTATGTAAATCTACCCAAAAATACAGTTGAAAAACTTGTACATTATTAAAATGTACTCAAATTTTTATCTCTTGTGCAAAATATATGATGTCTAGATTCAAATTATTCACTGTCTTGCAAGAATTCCAGCAATTCAAATTATATTCCCCTAACTTTAGTCTGTGATATTATATAAGATAAAAGCTTTAAGTCTAAAACCACCAAACCCTGGCTGGGAGGGTGGGGGGAGGGGGAGGTGACAGTGACATGTTTGACAGTTGGCGCCAGAGGTCTAGTGAAGTATTTATTTGTTTATTTATGTCCTTTAGATTGATTTTTTTGCTTATAAAATGTCACAGAAGTGACCGGAGAGAATATAATTTACATTGCTGGAATTCTTATATGATAGTGATTAATTTGAATATAAACATGCTGTAGTTTGCACTAGACAAAAATCTTAGTAATCATTTAGTAAATTATTTTGAGTACATGTACAGTACAGCTTTGCCCTTAGGACAGTGTGTGCATGTAAATGAGTTTCAATAAATGAATAGTTATATATATCGAGCCAAAAATATTAGTTGAAAAACTTTATGTAGACAGAGCTTGGATGGCAAAATTTTAGAATGACCAATAATTTTAACATAAAAAATGCAAAAATATTCGAGAACACAGCTTTCTTGATATTTACTCCACTGGAAACGAATGTAAACATAAAACCGATTACTGTATTGGCAGACTAGCCGATCAGTTGATCGGCTGATGCGCACAACAAAACTTGTTTCTCCTAAGGCTTGCGTTAATCAAAGTTTTGTTCGTTAATGGAACTGGAAATCCGTATGGGTGCTAATTCGTTAACCAAAATTTTGTTAATTCAACCGTTCGTTAATCGAGGGACCACTGTAGAGGTAAAAAAAATAATTGTCCTAAGGGCAAACACATAAAGGGAATATACATTCAACGTACATCCCCCCACCCGGTCCGCAAATGTTATTTGCGGATTTGGCGATTCACGGCCATTCGTTTTCATGAGATGTCTTGTTTAACCAATCCAACCATGTTATATGTGTTGATAATATCTTTTCATAGTAATATTTGTTAGAATTATGGAATTTTTCAGTCATAATTTTGTTTGAAGGCTGGAGCATCAGTGCTAGGAGGAGCACTTGGCCCAGACTGGCACACTGGACTGGAGCTAAAAGGTGACATCCATCGTAAAGTTACCATAGAGACTGAGGTGGAGATAAGAAAGATATTAGAACCAGTAGATGTCAGACAACCTGGAAAAACAATTACTACTCTAAATTCTGAGGAAGGTAAGAACAATTACTTATGTGGGTTTGATATTAATATTAAGGTGATCTCTAGAAATTGTGTAACTTCTAAAATTAATTAAACATTGAAATTAATGGGAATATTGTTGTTGCTTTGTTTGTCTGTGTTTTTAATTTTAAGTTTTCTGTAATCAAGAATTAAAAAGTCAGTGTCAAATAAATTTATTTAAATTTAAGGAAGCTTTTTTTTTATTGATTGATGGTGTACGTGTGCTACAACGTTTGTACTCAGAATTTTGAGATAACACATAGAGATATTCCTTTAAACAGTACTGTAGTCTTTTTGTATCATCATGTCAGCTGTGGATTAAGATTTACTGAATGTTGTAAAATAAATTTAGTATCAGAATCACACAGTATTAATGGATGTTCCATTGTATAGTACAGTTTATATTTATCCTTCTGGGTGAGAGGGAATGTCAAGGGTATATTCAAGATTAGTTAAAGGGGAGGTTTCCAAATTAGCACCTGGACTCCCTCCTGACTCACTAAATAAGTCAAACCCCATACACCCTCCACTACTCTGCCCATAGTGTTTCTAAAGGTGGCATGAAAATATCAGATAAATAAAATACAAGGGAAGAATGTACAAAAATAAAAAAAAAAGTATTTGCAGTAATAAAGTGCTGAAAGAGATCCCTAATGCTTTGCATGACCACTACCGTAATAAATGAGTATTGCCCAGACTTGTTTCCAGCAAGAAAATGTATAAATAATACAGTACATTATATGGAATGTCATTCACTAAAGGCGTGGTTTGTTGAATTACTCCTCAATGGTTTGTTAACAGAATGGGTTTATAAGGTCAACTTGTAATTTATTACCAGAGGTGATGAGATGATCTAAATTCCCACCCTCCTTTTAGTGTTACGAAATAGGAGCTCCAAGGCTCATCTTTAGCACATGTTTGATTATGTTTCTATGATCAGAAATTGATTTTTTTTTTTTTTTTTTTTTTTTTATTTATTTTTTTTTTTTTTTTTAGGAAACCATCTTTTTCTAATGTCTTTTTTGAATGGCAACATATGTATCATTTGGAAACTCCTTTTTAATTTATAATTTTCACCACTTGTCAGCTTACTAGTCACTCAGACAGTCAGCCTGTTCTTTGTGACAACATTCATTGTCCAGTGTTAGTACAAGAAGAGACCAGAGGACCCAGAGAAACCCTATGATGTTTGGTAAGGTCACACTGGATAACGTTCTTCTTGCATCTGACCCGGGGTTTGAACTCGGAAAACAGTGAGTAGGCAACTGTTGGCTCCAGATATGTGTTGGAAAGATAGCCATAGTTTGTATTTGAGCCTTTATGATTTTAATTTGATGTGGTGGAGATGCTGGAAATGGTTTGTTAGCATATACAGTATGTACAGTAGGTGCTCTGTTCACCTTTGATCATAAAACAAGATTACAGGATCAAACCTTAATTTTTACTAATTTAGAATTGCTTCATCTCAAGTTATGTGATGTAAGTAATCTACTGTATTCTTACTTTATTAGGAGAATGGCCTGTTTATGTGGAGTTGACAAATGGCAAAGTCTATGGCTGCGACTTCATTGTGTCGGCAATTGGTGTTACACCCAACACATCCAATTTTTTAAAAGGTTTGTTCTTTAAGCACTCAGTCTGTTGGTAATTTTTATTATCAACATGTTAACAGTATGCTGTTTGCAGAAGTAAGCAAATGACATTTGAATGGTTTCTGATAACTGCCACAGTGTGGTGGTGAGCTTGTATGTGTAGGCTAAGTGAGATGATCGCTAAGCCAACATAAACGTGAAATAATATTTCTAAACAAGGGATAATGAGGAATAATATCCGTAGAGATGGCACGTAATTGTGTAGCGGAGTCACCGACTCGTCACCCAGTAGCATAGAGAGCGGGTGAGGTTGAGCTGTGAGCTATGTTATTGTTCAAATCATATTTTTGGTAGATATACCGTACATTATTTTCTCCATTTTCTTTCACTTTGTTACATGCACACACAACCATTCATACATAATGTGGGTAATGGAGATATTATTGTACGTACATGGAAGAAGTAAAAAATTATCTGTAAAACCAAGTACATACACAGATACCAAGGTTAAAATAACAGCACAGTATAGTCAAATTTTCATTTTATAATTCATGTACAGTACTGTACTGTATTACCATGAATTTCAGGTAATAAATTCACTTTGGGAGAAGAAGGTGGATTCCTGGTTAATGAAAAGATGGAAACATCAGAAAAGAATGTGTATGCTGCAGGGGATGTTTGCACTCCTGGTTGGCAGCCGGCACAACATTGGTTTCAGGTAAGTTATGCTGATTGATTGATTGATTAATGTAATGTAAAATGTACCTTGATCGTTGTTTATGAACTGAAGACTTTATAAGGCAAGTTTATATGAGAGTAGAATGTGAAAAGTTTGTGGCTAAAATAGAATCCTTTAAAAGTGTGAAAAAAAATTAAGGGACAATATAGTAATGCATTAGTAAACACTTATAACTGATAGCAAAGGTGATCTTTCGTCCTGTACACTAATTTGCATATTTATACATCTGGAGAGTAGCTTTCATATCATAGAGGGTATTAGTTGTAGTCAGGAGGACTTTTCAAGAATGTTCTGGAGTCCAGGGGCCAGATTCATAAACGACTTACGGTCATTGTAAGTCCATACAATCAACCTTAACGCTGAACAGGTGATTCACTAACAGTTTACAGTGACTGTAACCCACCTTCTCATACAGCAAAAGTTATGGTGGCCACTGAGCACCCATAAGCTTACACAAGGCAGAAATAACTCCCATTTTCTTTATTATATAACCCGTCAAGACACACAGAGCTACCAGCCATACAGTACTTCAAGCGTCACTAGTAAGAGTGAACCTGTGACGATGTAACTAATGATTGCTTTAGCTCATGACCGTGAACTCCAGAGAGAAAGGGTGTTTAGCGATCCTTTGGACCCTCTACAAATTGCTGACCACCTACTGCTACGTAGGGATATACAGGAGGTCCCCGACTTACGAATGCCCACCAATACGAACAGGGTTAAACTTGAAATTTACAGTATTTTATTTACCTGAAATACTTTTTTTTTCTTTCATTGACTATGTATTTTGTCATTCTATTTCTTCTTTTCCCTTAAATTAAGTGAGGGATTTTAAACATTGTTCTATAAGCACAGTATGCTCATAGCATGTGTTCTAACTTATGTACAAATCCGACTTAAGAATGTCCTCAGGACTTACTTGCAATCGCCGATTGCCAATATCCTACAGTCATCGTAGCCTCTCGAGATATGGGGAGAGATACGATCAAAGTTACAATCAATTTAGTGAATCTGGGCCCAGGCAAAATACTAGGTACAGTACCAGTCTATTTTTAAGGCATTGCAGTTATAGGAATTGCCAGTGAATATTCCTCATAGATAAGTCAGGATGCTTAAGCACCATTCTATTATGCACTGTACTGTACTTGGGTGACTTCAAAATGTACAGTCATTGGCTGGTAGTGCTGTACTCCTGCTCAAACATGAAACCATTGTTTGAATAAGAAGTGCAACACTATTAGCCGATGACAATCTTCATTAGTAATCCAAGGATATTATAGGTGGTGCTCCTATAAGACAATAGTAGCAACTGTTCTACCTCACTTAAAGCTGAGAATATAATATAACTGTTAGGGAGGCAGGTACAGTATATATTATCATGAAAAAGATTACCTTTGGGTTAAAGTCACACATGAAATATACTTTGAAGATTAAAGCACTTTCTTCTTTGAAAAATTCTCCTTTCTTTCAGATGCGACTCTGGACACAGGCACGCCAAATGGGATCATATGCTGCAAAATGTATGTGGTCATCATTGGCTAAAGAAGAAATTTATATGGACTTCTGTTTTGAGCTGTTTTCTCATGCTACCAAATTTTTTGGCTACAAAGTCATTCTTCTGGGCCTCTTCAATGGACAACGACTCGAAGGGAAATATGAAATTCTTTTAAGGTATACGAAAGGTAAGTTGTTATTTTTTTATATAGTACTGTATATATAAAATTGTTGGAGAAAATTTGTGCTACTTTGATTTCCAAGAAAGCATGACATATACATTGACTTGATTTCAGAATAATATACAGTTCAGTACAATACAATATGGTATGTTATATTGAATAATGGCGACCTGTGGTGTAATGGTCAGTATGTTCGTCTCGCAAGCGAGTGGACCCTGGTTCGATCCTTGGACAGGTAAGTGGACCCGGGTTTGATCCTTGGGCAGGGTGAAACGATGGGCAAGTTTCTTTATGCCATTTGCCTGTCTACCCAGCAGTAATTGGGAACCTGGATGTTAATCAATTTGTGGATCGTATTCCTGGGTAATGGTTAGCCAGTGCAGTTGGCGAGTTGTCCGGTCTTCTCAGACTATTCCTTGACACTGGGTCATGCAACTTGTTATCTCAGGGTGTGGTTGTTGTGTTGGCAACAGCTTCTACACCTTAAACTAATTCACGCCTAGGTGGCCCTAGGGCCGACCATCCTCGTTACACGAGGGGCAACCATTATATATTCAATGTTTAAGTAGTACAGAAGTGATTCTTTTGTTTTTTTTATATTTGTAGTAGTAATAATAGGAGTGAGTGAAGAGCTATAAAAACTTCAGATAGAACATTTTAATTTAAACACATGTAACACCAAATAGAAAGTGTTGCAGCCATGAGAAGCATGAGGTAAAACAGAAACTTTTCTTGTATGACTGTTACAGTTTGAGTTGTGATTTAGGGTGGTCTTAAAAAGTGATATAGTAGAAGGAAGACCTAGGATTCTTTAATGTTTGCATTATTGTTGCTTATTGTTCTATCATGCATATAGCCTGTTGTATAACAATTTCAGTCACTGAATGTTGTATGGTTACATCCATAAATTTTCAATTACTTCACCTAAAACAATTATCAACATATCTGACCGGTATATTTTTTAGTACGGTATAAATATTCTCAAAATGCAGAATACAGTGCATCAGAAAATAACTTGGTCTCAAAATTATTATAAAAAAGATGTGTTTTCTGAGACGAAGCAAACATTGCATGCTAACAAGTAGTCAACTGCAATTTCTAAAATTAGTGTTGATTTTTCATTGTGATTCCATACATGCTGTGTACTAGTGTTGACCATTATACAGTAGGATTAGGGACCTCAAAAAGCCATCATTAAGTGATCGATTGTACAGTATATCAATAAAATGTGGGCAAAAATAGGTTCAGTTCCTGAGACCCTGAAGAGACCAAACAAGTTTTATATCTTGTTGCTATAATGATTAAATAATGTTTAAATAACTCAAATAACTTACAAAGACAAAAACAATAAATTTAAACATAAAATTATACAAAATAAATATTTACAGGCATTTTCATGTACCTTACATAATATGTATATACAGTACATTTAAGTTGCAAACCCCCCTGGTGCCACTAGTGAGTAGGAATAATTAATTTTATTTTAGTCATTCTGCCTATTTTTATTGAACTCTTATTGTGTGTATGCATGAGTACTATCTTATGAGAATATGCGAGCTCACAAGTTGCAAATTATAATGAAGTGTATCTTTCTGTACTGTACTTCAAAAAAGTATACTGTATTATGAATTTCACTGGTTGTTTCTCAGCAAGCAGAATCATTTAACAGTTAACCGCTTTCTTTATATAAATGTCATTGTTACACAAATTCATAATATACAATAATTTACATAGGGAAATTCATAAAAATAACTTGTAAACAAACATCGGAGGCCGCGACCATTGTAAAACTCATCTTAGCCAGCGCTTAGGGGTAAATGGTGTTAATTTTTTAACATCGTAAAACTGATTTATCGTATATAGGTCCATTGTATAACGGTTAACAACTGTATTGTAGTTTAATTATATCATAGTTTCACTGTAATAAAAAATTTAATTAAAATGCATTTGGCTATTTTTCAGGAATGGAATACATAAAGTGTGTGATGGTGGATGGGCGGATGCAAGGAGCGGTATTAATTGGGGAAACAAACATGGAGGAGACGTTTGAGAACCTTATTCTTAACCAGATGGATCTCTCTGTGTATGGAGAAGACCTGCTTAACCCTGATGTTGATATTGAGGATTACTTTGACTAATAAATTATACTGTATTTATTTTTTTTCTATTCTTAAGGTAGGGGAACTATTGCTTTATCATTTAACATTGAAATACAACAATGGTGGTTGCAAAGGAGAATGACAACTAGATGCAACTAATTTAGTAATCTTTATACATGAGATATGAAATGGTCTAAATTGGGTTTTCAATTTTTTTTTTACTACATTCCTGTTTACTTATTTGGTGCTACCCACATACCGGTACGTCTTGAATGGAATGTTTTTTATAGAAAATGCAAGAATGAAATTTTTTCTTTTGTAAAAAGAAATGTATATATTCCCTTTATGTGTTTCCCCTTAGGACATTTATTTCCTTTACCTGTATTGTATATACGGTATACAATCAGAAACAAATTTATAAAAAATGTGAGTCTACCCTCACATCTACTCCATGCACGGAGTAGACTTGAGGTAGACTCACATTTTTAATAAATTTGTTTCTGATTATTTGTGAGAGGATTTTCCCCTTATTTATTTTTTGTGTGTGTCTACACACACACACACACACACACATTTACAATACAGGTAAAGGTAAATTCTGTCTCTAGAACGAATGGCTCCCTGTCCTGGCCGCAAAAATGCTGGCAACTTTAAAACTACCCACAGACATTCTTGGGTACATTCAGTGTTACAAGAAAAAATAAATAAATGTGACCGGTCCACCTATATTGTTACCATAGTGCACAAGTACTGTAGTACCTAAGACTGCATCACACTATCTTGTGTCACAAGGGGATTCATTCTCGCACTAGCACTGCAGACATCAGAGGTCCTTGAAGAACTTAGGAGGGGTGAAGGCACAGTATGTGGAATCTATTAAATACCTCCACATTGCAAATTCTAACAGCTAACAAGTTATTTGAAACTCACCTCTTTTTTTTAATTTAATGGCAAAGCATTTCCAATAGGAAGATAATTACAAACTTATAGAAATAAGGTGAATGTATCTACCCAAGAAATACATACCACGTAGTACACTCCAGATTGAAAACCCGTTGTGTAAGTATTTCTATTTTCATTCCAAAGTCATTTCATATCTGCACAGAATTTAGTTTACAGCAAAATACAAGTCATAATTATGAGTAATAATAAGTGTTACTGTGCTTTACTCCATTTAATGTTTCAGAGTACTGTACATTAAGAAAAGATAATGTGCTTCTGAAAGTTTGTAAAATTAAGGTAACCATAAGTAAAAAGATGGGTCTTCAAAATCTTGAAAGAAACACACGGGATAACAAGCCAAATCAAGGTGCAACTAAATGCAACATAAGATTTAGATTTTTATTTCACCTCTTCGCACCCCTACAACACATCATCACACATTTTAGACTTAACAAGCATGAGTGATATACAATCTAAATAACACCAAAAACCTGTGGAATGGAACCTTCAAATCTGACAAGCAGAGAAATAAAACTAAACACTTGCTTGTTCATCCACACATCATACAGGTTTAATATCTTGTATCCTTTGTCAATCATAATATCATTCACTAGTAGGCAACTATACACACATTATCCAGGGTGACCAAATAAAATAAATGTTTACCAGGTCATCACAATCCACTGAGTAAAAGATAATGCTTTCAGTTTTGAAAAAACATCAAGTTCCGTAACTAAAGACTGTAAGTAGTATTCATTTGGACAAATGTTTGTATGGTAATAAAGGAAACTCAGGGTCAAAGACAACTTTACTCCTGAAGTTCAATTACAAAGGACTTTATTCCCGATGAAATGTCAGGAGTAAAGTTGTTTTTCTGACCCTGTTTCCTTTGTTACCTTACAACCCTACAGACTGTAGAATTCTCAGTATATTAATTATTTCCTTTAAAAATGAAATTAACATCAGTTCATTCAACATCACAGCTTTACTGAGAAGTCATTAATCTGCAATAATGAGCATAAACTAATCTGTTTAAGGACCACAAAAAAATTACTTTCAACAAAAGTAGGGCCGATGGTCACAACTGGACTTGTGCAGCTAGGATGGATGAACTTTCAACACCTTGTATCTTGAGCCAGCTCATGCATTTCTGAGGAGATTTAGAAATTGTAAAATTTTAATTCTAAACATATGCTTCTAACCATTAAGTCTGTGTGTCAATGACAATAAAGCCACCCTCATTTTAGTGTAACAATAAATATTACAAGTGTTCATACTCTAGTTTTAAGAGGCTTGATCTTGCCTTTTAATAAAACTAAAAATTCATAGAAAATGAAAAATTCCAGTAAAGGTTAATGAAATAGTGGCAGCTATATTACAAAACATGCTGTTAGTGGGAACTCTTATATCCAGGGTGTCATCCGCAAATAATCAAAGGCGTAAGGACATGCTGTATTTATTTCTCGCAAATGTTGTGATTCACAAGAAGCATCTGTAACACGCCCATTTAACTCGCATTTAAAGAACTAACAAATTCTAAATAGACAAAACTTGATGCATTTTATTATTTAAATATTTTATGCAATAATAGTTTCCTTATTTTGTTATTTAAGAAATACAGCAAACATTCAACAGACTTGGTGTGCATGAGTGTGTGGAAGCCAAACTTGGTGTAGTTTAATGGTAGGTCAGGGGTAACATGGACGGCCTGGGACCCAGGAAGCAGAAAAATCCTCAAAAACTGGTTGTCTTGGGTCCATATTAATAGTCGACATGCCTGATGGTGAGCCCAAACATTGGGAACCAGAAGCTTGTGCAGGGAAATTTTATTCATGAACGTGTTTCAGGCACTAAGATGGGTTGGGATCCTGATCCACTGAGTAGTGGTACCAACCTATGCAAATCAGCAGGATGACCCAATGTTGTCATAACTGAGGCATTGAGTACCCCAATAATTTTAAAAAATAGTAACCAACACTAAATAAATTAACTTCAAATGACCAAACGAACATAAACGTGTTAAGATGATATATTTATGGGATACTGTATAGTTATTATTATTCTCTGGTGTTTGTGAGGCTTATTTTGAAGGTTATATTTCACTGGGTGTTGGCCACACTGGGAAGGCCGGTGTTTGGTGTGTAGTGAGACTGCTGTCACATATAAACAAATGGCACTTGATTTAATGTTTCAGGATGTTAATATTATTACATTATTTTTTACTTCATTTCTGTTACCAATCCTTGATTGTTGTGCCCATTTGGTGCTACTTAAAAATAATTGATGAGGATTTGAATAATGTATAGCTGCTTCCTTTGTGATGAGGCTGACTTAGGTGTTGTTGCTTGCTATATGAATTTTACTTGGAACCCTAATCATCCTTTTCAATAATTCTTCCCAGAATCTTATATCCTGGCTGCATGTACTAGATATTCAGGGTACTACTGTATTAAAATTGATTTAATGAAATGATACTATACAAAAATTTGATTTAGAATGCTTGAAAATGCATTATTCTGGTGTCTAAAGTTCAAATTTCAGACTTACACTTTGAAGGTATGGCTCCAAATAAAACAAACCTGCCCTAACATAACAATAATTTTACTGAAAACTTTCCTAATGTTGCTCGTTAACCTGTGCACCTCTTCTAAACTACAGTATTAGCACGCTCATGATGAGCCAAGATTATTTATCAGTTGCAAATAACTGACAATCTTTGAATGTACAGGTATATGGAAACAAGGTTTTTTTTTATCACCAACAGACTCATTTCCTATCAGTTTTGAATATATTCTATCTATAAAAATGTATTTAAAAATTTGAAGGGTGAAAAAGATTTTATATTCATTGGGACTGCCATAGGGCAGGTACCCCCTCCTGATGAATTGCTTCAACAATCCCAATAGGAAACTCGATCCACCAGGAGTGCCTTTGGGCCTGTAGGCATTTCTGAATAACGACACACGATGGTGCTCCTGATCAGTTGGGTGGTGTAGTAACTGAATACGGCCCCTGGTCCCAAGAGTCCCAGATTTGAGGGTCTATACTTGAAGTAAAGCCTGTACAGTATACAAAAGATTTTAAGCAAATCACTTGATGCATTGTCAAGATACCAAATGCGCCCAAAGAATTCTAAAAAAATGTAAAACACTGTACCTGTAATTAGTTCCCCTAACCATCACATGGGAATAAAATCATGTACAAACAAGAAAAAGCACACTGTACAGTATGTTGCCAAGGCTTATTTGTTTTAAAATGAAGGAAATTAAGGTGCTGTCAATGTTATCTGGTTATGACCACAGCTATTTAATCTTTAAAAGGAAAAGTTCCCAAGATGAGGGAGGTGGAGGTGAATGGAAAGGGGGGGGGGTCTGCCAAGGCATATTAGTTTCAAATCTCAAACAGATCAGTTGAGATTGTTAAGAAATGAAAAATCTTTATGTGGTTCCAAAATGACTGCCAGGGTGCAACATCACTCCAAAACAATACAGTACACCAAGTAAGAAGAAAACACATGCATAGCACAGAAAGAGAATAAGCGGAGGCACTTTCAATATCTTGAAAGAAAGAAGATAAGGAAACACTACAGTTATAAGGCAACCACCCATTAAAGGATACAGTACTTAAATACTTGTTATTAGTGGAAAAAAAAATGCCTTTTAGCAGCAAGCAATATGTACCTTACACCAAACCCCTGAGTCCAAGTTAATTCTGCTGTGGCTGCGTAAACCTGTATGATTTATTGTAGTAGGGCCCATACACCATCTTCACCTCCTGCCTGAAAGGCACCCAGAGAAGAGGCTAACTATTACCCTTTTTGGAGAAATAAGAAAAGGGTGAAGCAGACACAGTAACCAATATAATAACAAGCATAACTGTAGGAAACATGACATCACAATTAAGGGCATACTAAAGACACCATACTTATTAGTAAAATAATGGAAGCCAAAAATGGCCCAACAATGTGGCTACAACACATAAAACAAATTAAATCGCACATATATGTACAGTATTTCAAGTCACTAAAGCACATATCATACAACTCAATGATAAAAAATCTGTGCACTCAAATACATGCATATTTGGTAATTCAACCTAACATTCTTGTTTAAAGGAGTTAAATTATCACTAAATTTACTAAACATACACAGTTATTTTGTGCTGTTTTATAAGACCCATTATTAAACCAGTCAACAAGCTAGTTCAATAATACTTTGGTTTCATACGAAACACGTCCATTGATGATGTTTTTTTAATCCCTTGATTGATTGTGAGAGAAGAGAGTACGTAATGCAGTACAGAGAAGGCCAGTTCCCTTGGTCCAGTTACACTTAAGCTTTTCACTGTGCATCACTCAATGCACTTTAAGCCTCCCTACTGTACGTATCTCAGGGTGTTCATAACATTAGAAGCACTCATGACCTTCACTGTTTCAAGTTCCTTCTTTTCACCATGAACTCCTGAAATCCAATACAGTATCAATGTCTGGGGATCTTATTTCCACCCTCTCTCTGCTTCAGTGCCATGGACTCCTGGGATTCTATAAACACTATCATATATTTTCATTAATACCCATCCATACTTACCTTGAACCTCAACTTCCAAAATCTTTCTTACTAATCCTTTACTGTACTTTGAGTTTTTCCTTTATATACATTACCTAAATCCCCCCCCTCCCTTTTATTATTTGTCACTGACTGGAATGATTCCCTAACCCTAAGTTATATACAGACCTGAAATCAACAAATTGATATAAAATCTGAAATTAGGGGGCAAATTCCCACAGAACTGAAGGGTTTTTGACAAAAGATAAGAGAGGAGCAAAATAGTTCCTTGTAAATATGCAATACAACAGAGTACAGTGAGGTCTCATTTTGCACGCGAATATCATACTGGTACATGTCCATGCAACAGAAATCCACAGAAGCGATGCCATTTAACATGTTAAAATCACTATACCATACTGGTCTCGCCAGACCTTTACTCTAGAACGACTTTGGGTAACAGGCACAAACTACTGTATATCCAGATGAGTGGTGCGGACAGCAGACAATATTTTCTCCTGGTATTTCCTTGCGGTTCTATGTTTACATTCGTTTCCAGTGGAGTAAATATCAAGAAAGTTGTATTCTTGAATATTTTTGCATTTTTTTATATTAAAATTACAGTATACAGTACAGTAGTCTCGGTTTACGCGGATTTTTTATATGCGGCACCTGTCCAGACACGCCAATTATTAGTTACGCGGTACATTCCTGAATTTACGCGGAAAGCGGCGCGGACAAGCTGCGCACTAGGTCGCTCTTACGTCACCGCTGACGTCAGATGACGTTTCGGACTATGATTGGGCCACACATCCTTACCACCCACACATCCCCTCCGCCGCGAGCTGTGATTGGTCTATTTAACCTTGCTTGCCCAGTCAACAAAACATTACCGAGTTCTTCACCCGCCACCCACCACAGCCAGCCCAAGTCAGTGATAGTGAGGATATGGAATTTGAGGGGTTTGACAAGGAGGCCCTGCTAGCCTCTGTGGTGGATAGTGATACAGGTGAGGGCCAATAATCTGCCCTCTGCCTTGGAACCAACCCCCCATCCCTGTGTGCCCAACCATCTCTTCTACTAACATTAGTGTTAAAAAACTTAATATTATTGATACTGAATTTTTCTTAAATATTAATTGTGTGTGCATACCATCATAAAATTAAGATGTTATTTTTACTACAACGTACGTATTGTCGGAAAAAGGGTAGTCTGGCGGTCGGCCCAGTCTCTATTTCAATTAATCCCATATGTTCTGTTATTTCGTTTACGCGTTTCGCATTATACGCGGACCTCCATGGGTTTAATTGACCGCGTAAAATGAGACTATACTGTATATTGGTCATTCTAAAATTTAGCCATCCAAGCACTGTCTACTGTACATAAAGTTTTTCAACTAATATTTTTGGCTCGATATATGTAACTATTAATTTATTTTTACTCATTTACATGCACACACTGTCCTAAGGGCAAAGCTGTATTGTACATGTACTCAAAATAATGTACAAAATGATTACTAAGTTTTTTGTCTAGTGCAAACTATAGCATGTTTATATTCAAATTAATCACTATCTTATAAAAATTCCAGCAATGTAAATTATATTCTCCCCGGTCACTTCTGTGACATTTTATAAGCAAAAAACAAAAATTCAATCTAAAGGACATAAATAAACAGATAAAGAGCGCTGGATGTAAAAAAAAAAAAACCTTTCCCTTTTTTGTCTCGTCGCTGGCAAATGGAGGGCGGTGCGTGATGATAGCTGCATTTATTACCGGGGTATGTTGTTATTTTAAGGTATGTTAGACAGGTTTATAATGCATTTTTATTATTTTAATATACAGTACCGGTAATCTTATTTTTAATCCAGTTTCCCAAACGTAAGTTTCAGTTTAAAATAATTAGTGGTAGGACCGTGTGAGTGGTTTACGATGTTCTCCATCACTACTCTTGACACGCTAAACCACAATATTTAAGAGGTAAGAATTTTATACCCGGTATTTAAGACGACCCATAATTTTGGACTGATTTTTTTAAGGTTCAAATTCCGTCTTATAAGCCGAGATATACGGTAGTGATTTAAGGGCGATTTAGGGGATTTTTAGGAGTGTTTCTGACTTTATGCATTTTTGGGCTTTACTTTGTATGTACTTTTTCTGTGAGTTGGAACCAATTACCCAATATCCCATTGAAATAATAGATTCAGTTAACAAACGACTCTGTGGAACCAATTGTGTTCGTTAATCGAGGAACCACTGTAATTAATAATAAATGAGGTCATACCTGCATATTAAGTGTAGGTCTTATTATATGACATAAAATTGTGTGTGATTAACTGAAGTGTATAATGGCAGGTTCAAGATCAGCTGTTGGCAACACTCCTACACTTCATATCTTTAATCACCCACAGTTTTCTGCTTTCTCATTCCATATTTTAAATTATGTAAAATAATGTCGAAGGGCTACAACGGTGTTCATTTATACTCAATTTTGTGGGTAGAATCAGCTGTTCAATAGCATCTGGCACAGTGTAACCATAGAAACTGATAGATGCATCGTCTCCTCACCACTTACACTACTCTCCCTCACCACCACCACTACCTCTATTATCACCACCTAAATCATAATTTCAGTGATGCAGAGATGGATTAGTGTCAACCATAGCAGAGCCGTACAATATCCACTGCCTCCCTCCCTTCCACCCACCTAAACACTGCGTCTCACTCGCTCATCAAACGACTGTCATTCATGATACAATATTGTTATTTGTTACTGGTATTCATTAATTAGTAAAGATACATTACTGGATAATTTGCATTTATTGCCTATACCCTTCGCATACAATACTGTACAGTATATATTTCACAGGTAAAAAATAATGTCATCAGAATTACATCTCCACACAGTATATACAATGGCCCCCTAGAGTGCTGTTTTGGATAGTGTTCTATTATTCATGAACGTATCTGGGCCATTACTGTATACCTGTATTACTTATGGTACGCATTTATGACGTCCAATAACTATAATGACTAAAATCGCTAAGTTAACGATATATGGCTTTCCAAATAAGCTTTAACTATGGTTACATGTTAACCAATCACGTAAGCGATAACCGCACATGCAATACCCGTGTAAAATTGAAACCCCACTGTACATTCTATTTTTCAATTAACTTTTGTCATCAAGAATTCATTAACACTGGCCCACCAGGGTCTTTATTCTTTAATGGCCCCAGACATGCCAGGTAACCTTTATAACCACAAACTGTATGGGGATTATATTGCAGCATAGTGAACAGTTCTCATGATAAGTGGTAAATTTACATGGTCTGAGAGTAATGTAAAAAAAGGATTAGAGTTAATTTTAAATAACAGGTATCATCAAGTGATTCTGCTACCATATCCCCTGAGGAGTGCTTCTCCTTTATTACTGATAGATATGTATATAAAATACAATGTCTAATTCTGATGTTTAATTAGAACCCATTTTCCCAATTACAGTATAATACTTAAATTTTCATCTTCACAAATTTTAACTTCATGACACACTGGACCCCCTTCTTTCATACTTTACACTAGACCTGCACTGATCTCGTGAATGAAAATTTTGGTAAAGAAAATGTTGGACGTCTGCTAATCGATAAAAAATTCTCAGGCCTGTATAAATATGATAAATTTTGGATATTTTATAAAGTAAGAACATTTCTAAAGTTACTTATTTTAAATATAATACTCACTCCTTCCTTTTAGCAGCTATGTTAGACAGCATGGAATTGCCGCAGAAGAAGGTGACTATGCCAACCATAAGTAAGTACCGCAATGTGCTAAACATATCTAGCTGCACCCAGAAGAGACAGAACAGTGCCAGAATGCCTGTAAAAAACAACCACAAAATTATTTTAATTTGTTTACATATAAGCTAAAGGGAAAATTTAATTGTAATAAAAAGGGAATTTTAATTGTAGATTGTGAAAATCTGAAAAATTTTCATACTGTTGTTTAATTAAGAACCAAGAAATGGTATTGGACAATATAGTATGTATACACTGAAAGTAGTGTGTGTGTGTGTGTAATAATAAATAATAATAATAATAATTAACGGTTTATTGAAAAAATTCTGCAGCGCGAAGGCTGAAAATATACATTGGACATAAATGACATTACATACATTGGTGGTTTAACAAAAGCCTTCATTAGAGAAAGGTGAAGGAACATACAGTGAACATACAGATTAATGTAGGTGTTGAACAGCAAACTCGTAGTGTAGTAACTCCCTCCCAGATGGTGTTAGGAGGAACTCACGTGGTGTAGTAGTTCCCTCAGATGTTGTTATGAGGGACCTGGCGTGGTGTGTGTGTGTGTGTGTGTGTGTGTGTGTGTGTGTGTGTGTGTGTGTGTGAGGAAAAAACAAGGTTGACTTGTGTAAAATAAGGACATGCAAAAATAAAATGTATGTTGGATTTGCTTAATATACAAGTTGTAATTAAGACTCACTGGATGACTACAGATCATAGTATGACCGGAGAAACTTTAATTTATGTAAGATTATCATTTGAAATACAAATCTCATGTTAGAAAAACCCTATTTAAGGGTAGTAGGTAGTTAGCAGCTATCAAACAGGGAGGTACTACTGCCTGGGAAGATATTGGAAGCATACTGTGTTGTCTAATGGTAGACCCTGCTGCCATATGGCATCACGAAAATTGTGACCAAGTCCCAGGTTGCTGATCTGACCTTCTGCCTCATTTACACACAATTGCAGGGTCTCAATTGTTTCTCTTACTTGGACAACACAACATGCATAATGTATATCGTTTCTCACTCTTGGTTTATTTTTTCGTTTTTGTATTTAGTTATGGTTATTATTATTGTTTTTATTAATTTGCTATTCATTTTATTAATTGTTGTAATAATAATAATAATAATAATAATAGATATTATTATTATGATTATTATTATATTTTCGCCCCCCAGGCCCTGATGTGGGTCAGTGACCTGTGCCCGGGTAGGCTAATCCCCGTAAAAAAGAAAAGAAAAAAAAGTGCTTCTCTACTTACGAACGAGTTACGTTACTGAGGCTTGTTTTTAAATCCAACTGTACTCCTGTAGATACCAAACATATAGTAAAAAATGAAAAGATAATGGATGTTTAGTACAGCTCTACCCTACAATACAGCCTTAAAACCTGGCTCACTCTTCTCCTCTTATGTAATGTTTGTTCTATCTGGAATGTTCTTCAAAATAATCCAGTCTCATCCACATTAAACACCTGTTCTGGCAGGTAACCCCCCTCAGTGATGATGATTGTATCTCTGAAAGTTTTAATCGAATGTTCTTAAGTAGAGGAACACCTGTTCAGTATTTCTAAACTATTACCTGCACTGTAAAATTTAAAACATATCAGACGATTTTCACCTCTCGGTTCCTATACCAACTATATTTTCGTGCAGTGCAAACATACCTGCAAGTCCGATGTGGAACACGACCGCTGTAACAGTTATAGGGAAGTTGGAGATGTTTACACCCAGCTTTACCCACTGAAAAGAAAAAAAAATAATAATAAATGAAATCTGGTTAAATAACTTTTATTGACTCTAAAATACTACAAACCCATCAAAATGGACTTCAAATTCCAGTACAGTAATTAAGATGACATTTTAATCAACTCTGCTGTGTTTAAAATGACATCAATGGTAACTAAAAACTTTGTACATACTGTAGTATGAATTTTTCTTCAGGATGACTGATAAACTTTGTTCATTAATGATTACAGTGAACCCTCAGAGATTCGGACCCTGTAAATTTGGATTTCGGGAGATTCGGACAATAAATTTGGGGGTTCTGGGCTAAGAAGCCTCCCCAAAACAGGGTGAAGGTAGTTTTAGGCTTAAAGTTTTTATCTTATAAAAAGTCACAGACTAAACTTTGCAGAATATGACTTGCATTGCTGGAATCCTTGTAAGATAGCGAATAATTTGAGTATAAACATCACATAGTTTGCACGAGATAAAATTTTTAGTCCTTTTGTGTAGTACATTTGAGCACTGTATAAAGTGAGTACAGTAATATGTTGCTCAAAATTATGACTTTTTCACAGGAAAAAGTCTGTATAACTTACCCCAGTGGTCAGGATAATATGTACTGTATCTTATTTTTTATATCACTATTTATCGTTTTTATATATTTAGTACATTCGCCGGAAGATTTGAACAATTGGCTTTTTCAGACAGGTGGTTCCCCCTTTTAGTCCGGATCTTTAAGGATTCACTGTGCTCGAGTTTATATCAACAGGGGGTCTTTGACTCCTCACTTTACAGTATGTTGTACCCAGTATACTGTATGCTGCAAACAGGAAGAAATTTTAATTGTATTGTACTGTATGTCATTTGCTGCTCATATACATTATCTGCATCATCCACTATTTTATGTTAAATGTGTGCACCTAAATATGACCATCTCAAATTCAGGTGCATTACAAGAGAACAGGCATCGCTGCACTGAGTAATAACCACACGTAGACACTAGACTGAATACAGCATGGTTGTGTTGTTGTGATGCGGGCAAGACCACGTGGTGCACTTCGCATTGCTTCACGACAATACCAATGATCATATTTTTACCAATTTTTAAATATTTTTTTTCCACTCCGGTGGTCTGGTAGTTGGGGTTTTATTGTATTGTATTAACAGGTGCTCCCCAACTTACGACGGGGTTAGGGACCCAAATCCAGGTCGTAAGTCGGAATGGTCGTAAGTCCGACATAGATTCAAAAATAAAAAAATAAAAAAAAATAAATAAAAAAAATAAAATCTACAATGAAATACAGTACAGTAAAAGTAATAAATAATGAGGAATGGATACAGTACAGTAAAATTAATAAATGGATACTGTGTGACTGAGCACTTACCTTTAATGTAGTCAGCTTAATGCACACGGGGCCCCCATAATTTTCTATTTACAGGTATACATGGAGACTATATTAATTGGATGAAGCAAAAGAGGAGACAGGGCTGGGTGGGTCATCAATGTTGCTTTCTTCAGACAGGTTTATGTACTGTGGAAACTTGCTGGTTGATGGTGTTGGATCATCTTGAGGGAGTGAAGAGGCAGCACTGGTGGGGCGTAAGGAGACAGCACTGGGGGACTTCGTACAATAGATGTCCAATTTAGACTGCACAGTTTGATTTTTCTTTTCATTATAAATTTCTCTAGCAAGCAAATGCATCTTGGATCATTCTGTCAACTTTGGCATAACGCTCATAATTTTGATCCATGCCATCAAATAGCTGCATTCCTTTATTAATTGTAGCAAATGCCTCTGCCATTTGCTTTACTGAAAACTTTTTGGGGGTGCAGGTCCTTCTATATTTAGACTGGCTTCTTCCTCTGCATCTTTGTGTGCTTCCAGTTCGATGAGATCTTCGTTACTGAGCTCTTCTGCTACACTTTCAACCAACTGTTCAACATCTTCATTATCAATTTCTAACTCAAGCTGTTTACCTAACGCCACTATCTTGTAACTAATATCCGAAATAACTTCATTTTCATTAAATCCTCTAAAACTGTTCACATATCTTTTCAGGATTTTCTTCCATATTCCATTCATGCAATGTTTTGTAACCTGATCCCATGCTGCACTTATGTTCTTTATACATGACAAAATGTTGTACTCCTTCCAAAACTCTCTGAGCGTTTTCTCACCTTCAGTAGCAGCAACAGCCTGAGCGAAGGTCGTACGTAAATAATATGCTTTAAATGCAGCAATAGCACCTTGCTCCATGGGTTGGATGACAGAGGTAGTGTTAGGTGGAATGTACACTACCTTAACATCAAGGTGCATGTCGTCCAGGTGTGGTGGGTGTTCCGGAGCATTATCCAAAATTAGCAAAATCTTGAATGGAATCCGTTGTTGCAGACAATACTCCTTGGCTCGAGGAATGAAACAATTCATGAACCAATCCTCAAACAGTACAAGGGTCATCCAGGCTTTCTTGTTACTGCGATAAAACTCTGACAGTGTGTGCTTGCTGACATCTTTAAAAGCCCTGGGGCTCTCTGAATGATAAATCATGAAGGGCTTTAGCTTGAAACCAGCAACATTCCCCCCCAACAGAAGTGAAATTCTGTCCTTGAATGCCTTGAATCCTGGCATTGCTTTCGCCTCTTTGTGGATGTATGTCCGCTCAGGCATGAGCTTCCACAATAATCCAGTCTCATCCACATTGAATATTTGCTCAGGCAAATAATTCCCTTCCACAATCACATCATCTAACTCCTCCTTAAAAGCTTTGGCAGCACCAACATCAGCACTAGCTGCCTCCCCACTCACCTTAACATTGTGTAGACTGAAGTGTTTTTTAAATCTATTAAACCACCCATGACTTGCTGTAAAGGTTTGCTCACATTCATCTCCTGCCTGCTCCTTCAGGCTTTGGAACAAGCTTCTTACTTTAGCCTGTAAGGTTAGAAGGCTTAAGGGTACACACTTCTGTGTTTGGTCTTCCATCCATATCACCAATAATTTTTCCATATCGTGAATAGGACCTTGTCTTTTCTTCGAAATTATAGTTCCCTTTATAGGTGTTGTTCCTTTCACTACATCACAAATACATTCCTTGTCCTTCAGAATGGTGGATATGGTCGAGTGCGAGAAACCTAGGTCACGTGAGATTGTTGCTACAGTTTTACCATTCTCATACTGCATTATTATCTTCAATTTCATCTCAAAAGTAATTGCCTGTCTCCTTTTCTTCGGAGCACCACCAGCACTCTCACTTGTACGCTTTCCAGTCATTATAAAGTCAATTAAATACGATAACGTAAGTACACAGCGCGATCAGTATAGGATACGATAGCCAAACACCAACTATGCGCTGTACTGAATGAGTGTACCCACGCGGTGACCCAAGCCAGCCACGCTCTCGCTCAGGACGGAAACGTTTCGGTATAGAAAATGTGCGCGTCATTTGAAAAAAATTTTGGTCACGACTGCAGCAGTCGTATGTGCGGATGGTCGTACGGTCAGAGCAGGTCGTAAGTTGGGTCAGTCGTATGTTGGGGACTACCTGTATATTGTTTTAATATATATCGCATTACTGTTGTCTTTGTTATAAAAAAGTCCCAGAATTATGGTTGGGGGAACTCCAGAAATGGTTGTGGAATGCATCCCCATAAGATTATGTATTCACTTCATGAGATTTTGAGTTATGTGAAGTTTTCACAGAACATAACCCTCGCTTTATTAAAATGAAATGGAAATTTGAATCCAGGGTTGCCAAGACAGGTCTGTCCCTACAACCACTTAGGCTACCTGATTTTCCTTTAAATACATTCCAAGATTACAGTTATGACCAAGATATTACAATGCTATATATATATGCAGTGAGGTCTCATTTATGCAGGTCTTGCATGCACAGTTAACGTTGGTTATCACTTAGGCACGAGTTTAAAATGTGACCATATTTGTAGTTTATTTGTGGCTTACACAGAAAGCCATGGGTAGCTAGGGTAGCGGTAGAGCATCAATTTAGTGATATTTTGCTTATATAGGTAAATTTGATAAAAAGGGGGCTTTGGGTCACTTGAATTACCAAAAAATCTGGTGCTTGAGAGATGGTAAGTGCTGGCAACATTGTTAGGGAGAGCAGGAACGATCAGCTGATACTGCTCTGTACTATAAACAAAGAGACTGCAATAGCTCATCTGGGATTGGGCATTTGAATTTTTGGGGAAAAATATTGATTTTTCGATAATGTTTCATCAACCCGGCACCAAATGAACCTAAGTAATATGGGAATTATTGTGAAATTGCATTCTGTCTTTATAAAGGGATCACAAGGTGAAGAGCGCCAGAGGTGGTGAGTTGTGTTCTCCCTCCCCGCTACCTCTCACAGACTACACACCCAAACATAGTTTTGTAGTTTTATATAATTCATATTTTATTCCTGTAATTGATTTCTTTTAATGTATTTTATAATATATATATATATATATATATATATATATATATATATATATATATATATATATATATATATATATATATATATATATATATATATATATATATATATATATATATATATATATATATCTCAAGGAATGGAAGAATATTTTCCTTATATATATATATATATATATATACAGTGTATATATATATATGAGAGAAAAATTCAATATATGAAGATAGTTGTATGTAAAACTGTACCAGGTATTCATGTTTTAAATACAGTATAACACTTACAATGAGCACTAGCAGCAGCAAGGGCAGGATACACAGGAGGGTAAAGGTTGTGGACATGACGGAGGATGGCCTTGGGTCAGGACTGCGGAACACGTGTTTGATCTCTGGACGAACCTGAAAATATAGGGGATAATTTGAAGAAAATGTTTTGACCCCAACTTATGTTATTTTTATGAAATTAGTTAATATTACTGATAATTTTTAGTAAACATGAGAAACATTATATTAATGAAGGAAAAACTCTTTTTGATTTTTGACTGAATATGACAGGATTATGGAATAAATATTTAATTCTTTAAATGTGGTTACACTTAACACTGGATTGGTAACATTTAAATGAGCTTGAAAATGCTTGATAAATGTGAAGTTGTTGTTGACTGACAACGACAATTGGACGACAAACAGAACATGATCACAAACACTCAAAATGCTAGCCTTCTGTTGAGGTGAACTAAAAATATAAACATACACCAGTCTCACCACAGTAGAAACCATTATCCTGGGTACCTTATAAGTGAAGTCTTGAGGTGAAGAAGGAGCAATGCTTCCAGGGAAAGTGAGGGACAAGTCAGCTATGTGCCAAAGGGTGGGGTTGCTGATGGATGCATCACCAATAATTAACTCTATGGAGTACACTCCACTGACTCCTCCAAACTCTTTCATGCTGTTGCTTACATCCTGAAATGAAGAGGTTATTAGAAACATGCTTATTTGATTCAACAAAATTGGTCAAACAGGCATCATATAATTCACTAAATGAGTAAACAAACAAGATTTAACAGTAAATATAAAAACAATCTATCACAGAAAAAATAACATCACCTCAATTATATCTCTAATATAAAAAATAACTTTCTTGTAAACTTACAATGTCAAATTTATAGATGTCATTTGAATCTGTTTCAGCAACGAAGATGATCTCACGCTTTGAATCAATATGAGTAATTTTGACAAATGCCTGATGTACTTCAGTAGGTCGTCCAGATGCCGTGTCTCGGACCACAAATCGCAGCATCACACGCTGGTGTTGATCTGCTACGAGGACAGCCGAGAGAGTATTGGGATACCTCACCCTGAAATAAATTACGAAAGAAAATGCAATGACTTAAGTGTGTACACACTTATTAAGTATGAATAAAACCATAAAAGCATTTAACAATTTGAGTGATTGCATCTCTGTGGATGCCAATTGCCAAAGGCGGAACAGAAAAATATACAAAGGCCGAGGACCCTGCATGTGGGTATGAAGGTATATAATTCTAGTTGTCTAGGATGAAAGGATAAAAATACTTTCATAAACTTTACATCAATAATTAAAGATTGTGAAAATTATAATGTTTAGGTACAGGTTCAACTTGTAAAATTTGTTTGTAAGAAAACTACATTTTCACCACTATGCTACGTTGCATGATCACATGATTAGGCCCGAGCCAAAACCCCTGTAGGTCAAGCCCACAGCCATGAAAATTAATGCAATGAATCACAGAACAGTTAAAATATGTTACATTAACATTTACCAAAGATAAATGTAAGCGAGTCTTCAGAAAAGTTGGTTAGGACACGCAGCTGACTTTGCTGCCACTGTTTCGGCATCTTAACCGACAAACAATTGTTTTCACACAACTCACTGCTAAGTTTTGAATTACAATATTAAATATCGCAAACAGAAAAAACAAATTTACTCTAAAAATTTCCAAAGTCTATATACGAGGTGTGATCCAAAAGTTCCCGGACTGGCTTAATAAAATCTTTATTTTTCCAGATATTGCAGTGAAACTTTAGTTGCCATTAAAATATTTTTCATAGGCCTCAATGCAGAGCTGAATCCCCTTCTCCCACTTCTGGAAGCAGATCTGGAAATCCTTGTTGGTGAGGCTGGAGAGCACCTTCTGTGATGTGTCCTGGAACTCCATTCTGTCCATGATCATCTTCCCCTTGAGGTTCAACCTGAACTTTGGAAACAGCCAGAAGTCACAGGGGACCAGATCTGGAGAGTATGCAGGGTGGGGGGCCACTGGGATGCCATGCTGTTTCCAAAGTTCAGGTTGAACCTCAAGGGGAAGATGATCATGGACAGAATGGAGTTCCAGGACACATCACAGAAGGTGATCTCCAGCCTCACCAACAAGGATTTCCAGATCTGCTTCCAGAAGTGGGAGAAGGGGATTCAGCTCTGCATTGAGGCCTATGAAAAATATTTTAATGGCAACTAAAGTTTCACTGCAATATCTGGAAAAATAAAGATTTTATGAAGCCAGTCCGGGAACTTTTGGATCACACCTCTTAAACACACCTAAACCAGCAATAACTGTATGTGCTGAGAAGTGGTTGTGTTAGTAAGTGAATGTCGTTGGCAAAATTTACTCTATGTTTTGTCTACAATTCTATGACATAAGTTCAAACAAAACACTACCAAAACCTAATGTACTGAAGAGAACCAAAGTAAAATCATGTTTACTCTGAAAATATCTTAAAAGGCAAGAAGTAGGAAGTGGTGGCTTAAGTAAAAAATTGCATTGGTTTTATTTGAGGATTGGATCCAGGCCTGTACAGTATAGGCTAGCTTAGGCTTAGGCTATTTTAACCTGAGAATGTCTAGGCATCTTAAAAAAGGAAAAAAAAAAAAAAAAATGCATTTGGCCCCAAGATATTCAAAGAAATGATCTTCGACCTGTATAAATATGTTGTAAGTCAGAGACTTTCGTAATTATACCTGAAACTGACATCTCTAGGGTTATACATATCAAATATGAAGAGAAAGACAAACTAATACAGACAGTCCATATACAAGCGGACTTCCATATACAAACAATAGCTCACCAGTCGCGAAACGAACCCTGGACCTCTGCTTGTGAACAGGGGTCATTACCACGGCACCACAAGGACAACAAAAGCAATCCTAGGCTTTGTTTTATTTTACACAAAGCAGTGTTACTTAAAAATAAGAGAAACGAACAGGTTTTGTGTGAAATAAAACAAAGTCTAGGATTGCTTTTGCCTTTGTTGACCTTGTATTGCCGTGGGAGCAACCCGTTCACATGCAGAGGTTCCAGGTTCGATTCCCGACTAATGAGGTATTGTTTATGTATGTATGTATGAAATAAAAAAATATTTTCAAATTACAATATTAAAAATATTACTTACTTCTGGAGATTTGGTGCTGTAGACTGGTCAGAATCAGCAGTTCCAATTTCCACTCCCTGGATGTCTATGGCAGTGAGAACTTTGAAAGTGAGTTGAGCAGCAGAATGACCCACAAGGCGTGAGTCTGAAGCATCTACACTAACCACCAATCGGTAAAATCCACGGTCAGGTCCTCTGGACATCACATCCAATTCATAGACACCACTGCAGGAACCATAGGAAGTGATGAGATATCACCTCTAAGTTTTACCATTATAAAAGTAAGCTAGTTTTAGATGGGACTTTATTATTCAAAATTACAATACATATGTACATACTTTCTTCAGCTAGTGGACAAATATTAATTTTAAACAATGCAGTGACTTACCGGATGAAAGTGATCTAAAATTGAATAAAAAGCTGAAATATAGGCAGTGAAGTCAATATGCAGTCTTAAAGTTGGTGGACTGGAGGCCCCCTAAGCCCCAAAAAGGTGATACAGTAGAATGATGACACTCTATTGGCCATTTTTTTAAACATTCGCGTTACTTATTATAGGTACCCCTCGACTTACGACAACCCGGACATACGACCGCAGTGGTCGTGTAAAATATTTTTCAAATTACGTATTTTCGAGTCCTGACGTTAGTGATCGCGCTGTGTACTGACAATTTTTTTTTGTAATTCCCTTTAAAATGGCTGGCAAGCATAAAAGTGTGAGTTCTCGTGGTGCTGAGAAGAAAGAGACACCCATTTTAGAATTTCTATGTATTATTTTCGCCTTTTCGACCTGTTCGTCGGGACGGTACTCCGTCATAAGTCGAGGAGAGACTATATTCCGAAAGTGCCCTCCGAGCCATAATTAATTTTTTAAAACCAAATATGCGTGATTTGGTTCAGGTTACTATTTGGTAATCTGAATTGTTATTGGAACAATTCGGGATAAGTCTTTTGTGTGTGGGTTGGCACCCGAAGACTAATCTCAAAGTCCCAACTACGTAGTTATATATGAATAGATAAAGTCTCTGAAATACATTACAGCTCCTCCCCGACTTATGACGGGGTTAGGGACCCAAATCCAGGTCGTAAGTCGAATATCCTTAAATAATACATAGAAAATCTAAAATGGGTGTCTCCTTTTCTTCTCAGCACCACAAAACTCTCACTTTTAAGCTTGCCAGCCATTTTAAAGTGAATTACAAATGAAAATTTTTTCTGTGTACTGACGTTGGGACTCGAAAATACGTGGTACGACTGAGGCAGGTCATAAGTGCGGGTGGTCGTAAGTCGAGTAGGTCGTAAGTCGGGGAGGAGTTGTATACAGTTTATAAAATATCCTAAATTTTTTTTTTATTTCACGCCATTTTCGATATTCCCGTGCGGTGTGACAATCACACGCCACCCTTTCCAGCCTCAGACACCCGCTGCTCCAAGAAGCCTCAGTCCACATGTGCCTACCGTACTGTGAACGCTACTGTGATTACCTCTTCTGTTTGTCCTCCCACGTGCATTCCACATGGCTCCGGGACGTAAGTCAGTCTCATCAAAGGCAAATATTACTAACAAAGACTCTTAAGTGACCAAGAGATCAAGAATAATGATAATCTTAAAAGAAAAAACAGTTTTATTGGACAAGCTCAGACGTGGTATAAGCTATGGCTCGAGATGTGGTGAAGACTGACAATTCATTTGTGTCTTTTGTCAGAATACAAGTCTTCAAGTAGAGGAATGTGGGTGGAAGAGGACTGGCTGGCCGGCGTGATTACGGGCAGACGCCGGGACAGCAGGGAGAGGCTGGCAATGAGGGTGTTACCGATCTCAGCGAAATATAATTTTTTAAATTTTCTTGTAAATAAACATTTTTTGTATATAACTGTGTTTACGTTTTTCCATTATTATACTACAATATGATTAGTTTCAAATAATGATGTTAGTAAATGCCGGTACAGTGCATCAGTGATCAGTGTGACCACTGGGCCGTGAGTGGAGAGCATAGTGTGGTTAAGTGCATGACCTACCTATTCTGTTTGGTGGCCACAGGTACAGTGATACCTAAAAGAGTATTCATGGTTTTGGCTTTTCACGGGGGTTTCAGTAACGTAATTCACGCAAAAAACACGGGATTATTGTATTGTGAAAAAAAAGTAAAAGAAATAATTTTCTAAGGGCAAACCTGTACAGTGGTCTCCCGGTTAACGAACACAATTCGTTCCAGAAGGTCGTTCCTTAACCGAAACCATTGTTTCAATGGGATTTTGGGTAATTAGTTCCAGCTCACCGAAAACTACATACAAACTAAAAATAAATGCAGTAAAGTACACTTACTTTGAGGTGTGTATGTAGAAGGCTCCTGGCTGATGATGATAATGATGATGGGAATTAGAAGTGGGGGTGGAGGAGAAGGGAGAAGAGAAGGAAGTGGAAGAGAAATCACCCCATGCTTGATGCCGTCATTTGACCCATAAAATTTTAAGTTCACTTGGTGTAATTCAAGATTATTTTTTTTAAATCAACACTGCACTGCACTATATATTGTCAATATGTAAAATAAATTTCAGAATGACCAATAATTGTACTGTAAAAATGTAAGAATAGTTTATGTTCAAGATAGAGTCTCAAGCAAGATGCTTCCCATCATCATCATCATCATCATCAACCAGGAGCCTTCTACATGCACACCTCAAAGTAAGTGTACTTTACTGCATTTATTTTTAGTTTGTATGTACTTTTTGGTGAGCTGGAACCAATTAGCCAAAAACCCATTGAAACAATGGTTTCGGAAAACGAATTTTTCGGTTAACAAGCAACCTTCTGGAATGAATTGTGCTCATTAACCGAGGGACCACTGTATTGTACTTGGGAGTTTTTGTATAATAAAAAGTAAATACTATTGACCTTAAAATATTTCTTAATATCTTAAAATATTTCTTAATATCAAGTGTACATGGCTTCAAATTGGCCTCAAAATGACCATGATATTGGTCAGATTTCAAAAGACTTTCGGGGGCACGCCTTAAAGCACCCCCCAAAACTCCCCAGCTGGGTGGGCTCGCTGTGCTCGCCATGTGCCCCCCCACAACTTTTTGGACCCCCCTTTTGAAATTACTGGATCCACCCCTGTTCTGGGTTAGGTAGGATATAAATGGTGCTGGGGTGGCCCGCAGAAAAATACCTAAATCATAATGCGGCCCATGACTGAGGAAAGGTTGCCCGTGTCTGGTGTACAAAAAACAGGACATGTTAGCACAGACACAGAGGCCCCCCTACTCTTCCCATAAAAGTTTCTGGACAGATTTGTTCTAACAACAATTTGAACAAGCCCAGTTGTAAGTTGAATCAGTTAGTGGCTGGTTCAGACAAATCTCAATTCAAAAGACTATAAGATAAATACTAGAGGTACTCCACAACTCCTGGATCTCCGCTCTATTACAGTATTGCAAAATTAAGTTGAAGAGAAAGACTTACTCAGCAGTTGAAAGAGGTGTGAGAGGTTCCTTTGATATGATAACCACTTCATCAGCAACTCTTGTCGCAGAATCAGCAGTCACCTTCAAGGGTCCCAAACTACTACCTTTAAGATCTGTCACTCGCACCTGGTGAGTACAGGAAAAATTGGCTTAATACACAATTCTACCAAATAATATCCACATCGGGGCCTGGGGGGCAAAAATGTAGTAATAATAGTAATTATAATAATAATTTATAGTAAATAAATTTGAAAAAAAAAATAAATAAATAAAATAAAATAAAATAATAAAACATAAATGATAATACTAATCACCACTGTAATAATAATAACAACACTGTAATAATAACAATAATAATAATAATAATAAACCAAAAGTAATACAAAAATGAAAAAAGATCATAAGTGAGAAACAATATATATATGTTGTGTTGTCAAAGTAAGAGAAACAATTGAAACCCTGCAATTGTGTGTAAATGAGACACAAAGTCAGATCAGCAACCTGGGACTTGGTCACAATTTTCGTGATGCCATATGGCAGCAGGGTCTACCATTAGACAACACATTATGCTTCCATGCACTAAGAAATTTTTTTTAGTCCTTTAGCTTAATACATTTAAGTACAAGTTGTATTCTAAAGTAGAGTAATATGTTTCAAAATTCTGGCTTTTTCAAAGGGAAAAATCATAGGCAGGCAATTTGAAAAGTTCACACAGGTTACAGCGTTAATACAAGTTTAAAGTTAAACCAAACAATCGCAACAGTGATTTGCCAGAACAATTGGTGCAGAGCACTTCCAGGAATACAAGATTTCCGGGAAACGAGACGACTCTCTCAAAGCCGAAAAAATCCCCCATCCCCAGAATTTTTCCGGGTACCATAATTTTCCAGAATGATGCATTATTTCATCACTTAAAGCCGGAAAAATATCCCAACAACTTTTCATATTTAAAACCCTAGTTAATTTAGGACCGAATTCAATTTACGTCCTTATTTCATTCGTATTACGACCAAAATATAATAAAATTAAATTTTCATATAAATAATAACTAAATCCCGATGTATTGTATAAAAACAAAAAATTACTGTAAAAAAAATTAAGAGCGCCTTGCGCAAAGAAACTGCCTGGCTAATGAGTGGTAAACAACAGTCGGAGCTTGGCGTGAAGCATCTGGAACAGGAACAGGAGAAAAACTGCCTCAGGTTTCTTACAGCATTTTTGCATCCCTATTCAACATGAGCTAGAAAGCAAGTGATGGTAGTGTTGTTTCAAAAGCTAATAGAAAGTGTATAAGCTTAGCCGAGAAACAAGATGTGTTAAAACGATATGAAAAAGGTGAGAGGTCTGTGGATATTATATGGACCAAGCAATGAATATATTTTCTGAAGTGGATCCATTAACAGAACAAAGCATAAAAACTTAAATAAATGCAAATGACCTCCATAAAAAGATGTATAATGAGAAAAGACAGCAGCTGTGCAAGGTTCTTTCGACAGTTTTATTATTCGAAGACCTAAACCATCAACTTCGGCTTCACCATCAAATTCAGCATCATAAGCAGCTTCAACATAAGGTTCAGTAACATTTTCAGCAACAGCTTCAGCCAGAGTTGAACCTGATGACTTCGTCATCTGAGTAAAAACTCGCAAAATATTCATTGGCTGTCCTTATGTTTTTGACTTTACCACCATTGGTGAGTAGAATTTTTGTTTTAAATTCGTAAATATTATTTAAAACATATATGAACAGTAAATAAGTGTTGATTTCATATTCAAAAGTGGAAAAATGATGATATGTTTTCACATGTATGCACTTACTGTTCATACGTTGGCGTTCCCAATCGTCTCGCCTTATTTCTTTACCATTAGTGGTTAGCTACTTCAAGTGTTCCATTTATTAACATTAAATAACATTCCATAAAACATACATACAGGTACAGGTTGTACCTCTCTAGTCCGGCATTCTGTGGTCCGGAAACTCCCGTGGTCCGGAACGATTTTAGATTGTCCAATAGGTAGATAGGCAGCCTCTTCTTTTTTTTTTCTTTTTTTTACTAATCTGAATTATTATTATTATTATTATTACAGGAGTATTAAATTTTTGCCCCTCAGGCCCCAATGTGGGTCAGTGACCTATGCCCAGGTGGGATAATCCCCTTCGGAAATTAAGGTTTGTTTACATCCGGCAGTTCGGCTGCTCTCTCTCTCTCTCTCTGCTTGTCTATACAGAGTACAACATTTAACCCTTCAATATATATGAGCAGTAAATAAGTGTTGCTTTCATATTCTTATGTAGAGTAATAATATGTTTTCACATGTGCGCACTTACATACGCGCAGTCTCACTTTTTTTTACCATTAATGGTTAGCTACTTATATTGTTCCACTTATTAACATTAAATAACATTACAGATACTTTAAACAACCATATTAATTTTATACAGCTAAAATCAGGTCTTATTTTTTGTTTTATATGTAGAACCAATCAGTCACTGGTTTCGTAAGCTTTAACATAAACAATGCCGCAGCCGCCTCTGCCTCTAATATTCCACGATTATTAATAAATTGTATTGTTAATTTTGCACACACAAACATTAATTCAATAAAACAATTTCAGAAACATTAATTAAAATATATATGAACAGTAAATAAGTGTTTTCATATTCTTATAAAAGTAATGACGATATAAGTTTTCACGCAGCGCATTTCACACACACGCTCTCTTTTTTCTTTACCATTATCGTTACTTTATTGTTCCATTTATTAACATTAAAACAACATTAAAAAACAACCATATTAATTTTACTACAGCTACATACGTCTTATTTTCTTAATTTTCTCGTGTAGAACTATCGTCCCGGACTCCCGGCTGTAAACACAGATGAAAACAATGGCGTCCCATCTCCTCTTGTGTGACCATATTATTATTCATTTATATTGTATAAGGTCATTCAGACACATTATTTAAATAATATAGTTTGCAATTTTCATTAATTGTATTGTATTGGGGGGAAAAGAGGGTAAAAAGCCACACAAAAGATATGAAAAGGTCACACTTGGGAACACATCTCATTATTATTGCTTTATTTTAATGGTAATTAATGATTCGCGATAAGACGATTCACTTTACACTGCAATATTGAAGGACACATTAACGTCGTTATTCGAGGCCTTACTGTAATGGGCATTTTCTGGAACTTCCGAGAAAATTTTTCAGTTACCCGGAAAATTTCGGGGCTGAGGATTTTTTTCCGGCTTTGAGAGAGTCGTCTCGTTACCTGGAAATCTCTCATTTCCAGAAGTGCTTTGCACCAATTGTTCCGGCTAGCTGGGATATCACCGTATTCGCTTTTCCGGACTTACACGTTTTTCAGGCTGGGCTCTACTGTATATATATATATGTGTGTGTGTATGTGTGTGTGTGTGTGCACACCCAGCTTGAGGTAGGAGTCATTAATCACCTTTAACATTATAAAAACAATATTTACACTCACCTGCACTTGGGGAGCTTCTGCACTTACAGCGACATTGCTTGCTAGAGTGATTGCTACTGGCACATGGAACCTTAAAAAAAAAAAATCACTCGTAATAGTCTCTTACATCTGTTAATGTAAAATTCACATATGACTACTTAAAATACTAGATGCATGACTATCATTAAATGGTTTAAGACAGGTTTCTAGCTCCTAAAGCTAAAAGTGTGACATGTGGACATCAAGTGTGAACACCAATGTTCAGGAATAATCATGGATTTCATACCCCAATTCAAATACATTAGTTTTTTTGTGATTCTGATCATATTTGGCACATCATTTCTTTCCTAAGCTTTCCTTAAACTATTGTTTCTTTAAGTACAAGGTAATCCAAGTCAAGTTTACACATTCCTACCTCTTTTGAAAGAAATGTCAACAGTTATCAATCTTATAATTTCTGGTCAAAATTTAATTTTTATTAGTTATACACACAGTAATAACCCATTTTCCTTTTAAATTATACTGGAGAAACACACTGCACTGACAATTTATTCCCAGCATTACACATTAGGACAATAATGATCACAGTGGATTAACAGTTTAGTCACTCTTTAAACATAGATATTTCCTTTGTTTTATGGTGATGGCTCATACAACACTATAGTAACTAAACCCCTACCAACCCTCTGTTTGTGTCTGGGTTTGAACTTCTGTTTCTTGGACTGAGAGTCCAGTATACCTGTAATTTCAACTGAACTATGACACCCACTAATAATGCAATACTATTTGATCTAAGTATTCTGCTTTTCTTCTTAAAGCACATGAAATATTCTACAGTAATGTAAAAAACACCATAAGATATATTTAAGATCACATCAAGTGGAGTAGAGCATACAAAACACATATACAATATATAGAAGTTATTGTAACCAAGAAAATTCAGCACGAGAACCTACTTGTTGTTTGTGAACATGGACACAGCCTCCAGGAGGTAGTATACACCTTTGGACAACTGGACAGACTTTCGTGACATGAGGTAATTGGCAAACTTGACAGCTTGGTCAGGCTTTATCGGAGGGGTCTTGTTTGAAGTTTCTGCTAATTTGTAAGCACCACTTAGGACTAATGCTGTGGGAAAATAATTTGTATTAATTATTAAAACTGTATTGCTCTATTTACTCAATAAAGGGAATAAGGTTGAAAATAACTACTGTACTGAAAATCATATTTCATTATGAAAAACTTGAGATACCAGAGTTTTCTAATTACCCCCCAAAAGTACTAACAGACCAAATGTGATCTGCTTTATTCATGACATCCTGTTTTGCAGGGATTTTACTGCAGTACTTAAAATGGCCCAAAATGGTTAACTGTGTGCTCCAGAAACACCCCTATGAGATATTCCAGAAAATAAAATCTGGGGGTAACCCCCCGATCAGTCCAGATTATCAAGAGTTTACAGATTTTATATAAAAAAAGTGCATATTAACACAATTCAATCCTAAACCAAATGAAATATTGGAACTTCTCATTTATATTGGTTCTTGAGATACTGTACTGAAATATAGATAATACATGGACAATGGTTTGACTGGAACAAGTTTTTTCTTTTAATGTATAAGGTAAATAGAATGAGCAACTAAAATAAAGTAATACACATCCCTGTACTATATTAGATGGCATTTTCCCTATGTCTAGTAAAATATTTAATAAAATAGCACCCTGTAATTTCATGAGGTTAGTGCACTCATATCACACCCTAAGCCAAATAATTTCATAAGAGAGGAAAAAAATTGTGGATACAAACTGCAGATGAGCCAAATAAATTTTCCCTATTCAACTGTTTATGACGAGTTACATCATGAGGTGTGCTGGAATATGATGTACTTTAAAGCTGTTAAACAATGATGAGTGATATGACAAACTGTTAAAAGGAAAAGTGGATGAGAAAAGGAAGCCAATTCATCATGGTACACACTTAAGCATGAGAAGGAAATACTGAACTGTATACACATGATAGTGCCTGCATAGAATTAGTAAACTCTGCTTTTGACAAGAAAAAGGAGTCAAAATAAATATTACACAGCATATGAAACATTGATAAATACAAAGGTCTTGCCTCACACAAGTTGACTCTTTAGAATAAAGCCTCAATCCACAAGACAGGATCTCATGCCCAGCATTAAAACAAACTAAAGAATGGAAAACCAAGCACAAGTACAAGATATGGGTCAAACAATATACCTGTTATAGAAAGGCCTCCTTCAAACTGAAGCATGCGGCCATCAACTTCATCTGCTTGTACTATGGCATCCTCGATCCTCTCAAAGATACTGCCAACCTCACCCTTGAGCTGTGCCCCAACATGAAAGGCATAACCAAGGCTGCAAGAAAACTCAATATTGGTATTCACTTCAACAATACATGCCAAATAACCTTCCTAAGGTGACTTTTCTACATAATAATACATATTTTTACATACTGTACTGAAATACAGTATTTATTCTATTTTGTAGTCTTTGAAACCTATTCCTGCTTACAGCAATAAGACCAGAATTACGAGCACTCTCCTCTTTCACACACATACGGAAATGATTGGCCCACCAGAGATTTTGTGGTGATGCAATTAAATACACAATCTGGTTAAAACTCGGTGGAATTTCTTTATTTTATATTTACAAAGTAAAATGCAAACACAGACACAGAATCCATAAAATAAGAAAATTGAGGAGCATGGGTGCGTATGTGTAAAGGCAGTGGCTGTAACTACATTGCCAGCTAGCCACACTCCCTATCCACGGCATACACACACACACACGTCTCCGAATCAGCTGTGTGACTGCCCGGCTGAACTGCATTGCTATGTTTTTTACCTAAATTGTGTGCTGTTGTATTTCATAATATGCTATGTACGAAACTTATAGTTTATAATAGCAATTTTTTTCATTGTTGATAAGCAATTTGAAATTTGTTCAAATTAGGCTCAACTTTTGCTCACTAAATTGTTTAATTTTGAACCACATCTTTGAAGTACAGAAGTTTGAGTAAATATATCAATCCTTAAACTTCGAAACCGTTTATAACAAACTTGACTATTGCTATTAGTGTAATACGGAGTACAGCACTGTACTCGGTGTTTACCACCCTACAGTTTGAGCCTATTGTTCGTGCTCCCTGCTTTGTTGTTATCCCTCGTCTAGTGATAATTTCGCTTAACGTTTGGTTTTTAGGGAATACAACCACATCGTTAAACTAGGGATACCTGTATAATTAAAAGATTATAAACCAATCAAATATTTTTTAGAGAAGCCCCATCTCCTTGATAAACTTGAAGACACCACCCTCACAAAGTTTAGGAGGTTCTAGAGCTTAAATGAAAAAGAAAAAAATAATAATTAGCAACAAAGTGGCTGGCATTCTAGAAAAAGTTACAGGAAAAATATGTTCAAGTGTAAATGTAGCCATATTTACTGCAAAACTTGGGTTACGTATCTTTGTACAATAGAAGGGATATAATAAACAGATGATTGGAAAAAAAGTAAATGTTAAAGACTGCAAAAGAATGAGTTGTAAAAGGAGGTAAACACAGAAGACATCAAATATTTGGATCAGGTATTAGATTGACAAAGAAGTGGTTAACAATGTGATGTGTAAACAGAACAATACAAAAAATCTAACCTCAATACACTATCATCTTTCTTGAGGGCCATTTGAGTGGCACGGAGGACCTTAGCAGTGTCCAGCTCCACCCCAAGATTGGTAGCAGCACTGACTGCATGGAACAGCTCCTGGGATGAGGCTCCTTCTCTGATGGCCTCACTCACTGCCTAAAAAAAATATAAGGTATACAGTTAATAAAAACCAGGTAAAATAATGATAGAAGTATAATTCAGAAGTGGATGGTTGGGAGAAGTGAGATCAGAGAATGATAAAAGATTTTAAGATGAAAGAAGAACAGGTCTCCCTTGATATACATAAGGGTCCTATTCCTTAACCCCTACACCCTGGTTGACGTTCCGGAACGTGTGCCTTTTTGCGCCATTGTTCGAATGCCCAGCGCCTGTTATAAGGTTCCAACATGACTATTTGGTGGTCACGCCACACGCACGGTGGCGTGGGTGGGCTCAGTGCGGTTAGTATGCATTAGCCTGAAACCATGGAGAGTTGTCTCTCAAACTCTCACGCTAAAAGTAGTTCAGTACAATGGTCCCTCGGTTAACGAACACAATTCGTTCCAGAGGATCGTTTGTGAACAGAAAATTTCATTAACCGAATCCATGTTTCAATGGGATATTGGGTAATTGGTTCCAGCTCACAGAAAAGTACATACAAAGTAAAAAAAAATGCAGTAAAATGACTAAAAATTTTAATATAAAACTTGGAAAATTATTGAATAGTACAACCTTCTTGATATTTACTCAAATAGGAACGAATTTAAGCCCTAGAACCGATTACTGTATTGGCGGACAAATATTCCAGCTGGTGAGCAAGCGAAAACATGTTGAGAGGAATTCGTAATGAATTCGTTAACCAAATTTTTTTCATTAACCGAATTGAATATTCTTATGGAAGGTAATTCGTTAACCGAGGGACCACTGTAATTGTAATGTAAAAACGTAAAAATACTCTGTGTTCAAGAGAGCGACAAACAAGATGTTTCCTCCACTTTAAACAAGGTTAAACAGACTCTTAGGTGGGTGCGTCAAGTGGCTGATGGGCACACAAAAAACTAGTTCTCTGTACTGCATATATTATCAATATGTTAAATAAATGTTAAAATGACTAGCAATTTTAATATAAAACTTGTAAAAATGATAAAGAGCACAACCTTTTTGATATTTACTCCAATGGAAATGAATGTAAGCCTAGAACTGATTACTGTATTGGCGGACTAGCCTATCAGCTGATGCGCAAGCCAAAACATGTTGTCGCAAGGATTTCGTTAATCGAAGTTTCGTTCATTAACCGAATTGAAGATCCTTATGGAAGGTAATTCGTTAATTGAAATTTCGTTAACCGAGGGACCACTGTAGTTGTATTGTAATGTAGTATTATTGGAAAATAATGCTATGATTATGTTAGAAATGTATTTACTTGAGGAAATATTATTCCGATAATTATTTATATGCATTACTTGCTCTACCAAACACAAAGACAGCCAGACACCCTGGCGACAGTCTGTGTGTGTGTCGCCGAGGAAGGGCATGAAGCTCAAGTCCGAGTCTTCATGATAAAAATAAAGCGTTAGACCGAGTGAATGTTGGCGCATCCGTGCGTATGGTGTGTGAGGAGTTTGGGATCAAGTCCAGCACATTTTACGATGTAAAACAGAATTGGGAAAAGATTCGGATGCGGTTTTCAAGTCTAGAGGACGCTGGCAGCTCAAAAAAAATAGCAGAAAAGAATTAAGCCTGCAAAATTTACTGATTTAGATCAAGCTGTGTACAAGTGGGACAAGCAGGAACATGCGTCAACGTACATGGCGTGGACAGAACAGTACAATACAGCACTCCAGTGTTTAAATGTAAATACTTTGTTCATATAAAATTCTTTATTTTATAAAAGTGTACAAATTACTGTACAGTACAGTATACTGTACTGTAGTACAGAACATAAGTGCCTCCATTGTCACCTACCATGATGCTTCATTCTTTGCCTGCAGTGCTGGTAAGTGTTACTTTTTGACATTTAGTAATTACATGTACACATATATGGGTTGATAATTTTTTGTTGTTGTATTTTTGTAAGGGGAGTGCCCCGATAAGTAGGAATTTGAAATAACTCGAGTTATCGAGGGTTTACTGTACAGTAAACCTTATTCTTCACGGGGGTTAAATTCCAAGGAATGGCGCAAATAGGCAAAACCGTGAATAGCAACTTATACTACCTTAGTGCATTACTGTATACCTATACCAAACAACTGACCAGCCACGGCAGCACTCATCCTCTCTTTTATCTTATCTAATAATTCAACTTTCTTTGTCAGGGTCATCACTGACTTCTGCCTTTTGCATTTCACTCGACTAGCACTGACACTAGGCAGTCTTTTAGGGTCCAATTCACACAGAAACACTTAAGTTTTGAGAGTACAACACGAGATGCTGCATCAAAGGCAATGATTGTGCGTGAACAGAAGGAGAGGAGATGCTGTGGACGTGTGGGGTGGCTCATTGCGCTACAGGGAAAGACCTTGCTTACCGCGAATCGTCGAAATCGCGAATTGCAGGGGTCTACTGTACAGAGAAAATTATCTAATTCTACAACAGGTTTACAGTGCGCCCCCCCCCCCCAAAAAAAAGAAGAAAAGAAAACCTTATTGCTCACATAATACTGCACAATACTTATCTCTGGCTAATTATTCTTACCTGAATTGATGAAACAGAAGCTGCTATGGGGCACCCAAGAGCCTTTCCGGCTGATGATGCCAAGAATAGTGTTTCAACAGTTGCTCCATCACCAGCTGAACTCTTGACAAAATTACACACACCCTGGTAACATATGTATGCTTGTTAAACACAGTCAGCAATTACAGTATTTGTGACAAAAATGCAAAATTAAAAATTAGCTTATAATAAGAAAAACTCGACATTTACGTCTCATAATCTAATCAAGAGATAAACAGCTGTTTGGAAGAATGACTCCGTGTAGAGCACTTAATTACGAGTATACAGTACTGTACTATACACAGTATTACACACATAAAAAGAAATCAGTTAGAAAATATTGCATTAGACTGTACTGTACTACCATTACCAACTAATTAATAATACTGTACAGTATTGTATTTATCTTATTTTAAAATTTTCTGAAGCAAAAAATATCATCACCAATAGATCACAAAAAAAGAACAACCATACTGTACCTCTGCATTGGGAATCTCTTGCCCTAAGTGCTTGTAGCCAGCCGAAGCATAAAGAACCTGGGCAAGGTCTGAGAGTGACCATGCTGGGTCAAGAACAAGCTTGAGCCTCTCCTTGTCCCCAGGGGTGAGGTATGTGGATGGGGATAGGGCTGAGCTCACCCCTAATAAGGCCAAAATTACTAATGCCGCTGAAAACAAAATGAAATTTTTTTTTAAATACATGCACAACACACCTAATATGTTGTTTATAACGGGCACATAAAATTACCCGGTACGCCAATGTAACCTCTTTGATTTCCTAATTGAATACTGCATAGGGATGGACATTAATATGACTACAGTATTGTAATGAATGAAAATGAAAGAAAAGGAGAATAATGACTGGGAATTTAACTGCTATATTCTATAATTTATCAATCAAATTAATCAAACTAACCAATCTAGGTTAGTTTGGTTCAGTTTATGAAAGATGGATGTAACAGTACTTGACAAGAGTCCAGCCTTAGCAGCAGCTTAACGTATTTTTTCCATAGATGATGAAAACTTTCTTACCTTGAGAAAAATACATTAAATACATTTTGTGCAATATCAGTTTTGATATGTAAAATTGGCAGAGGAACACGGCAAAGACAACCTTGCCATTAACACCATGTTTTGACTGTAGGAATGGTTGTTTGTGCAGAAAGGAATTTTATTCTATTTTAGAAGAATAAAATGAGAAATACCATACCTGTAGCATTTCAGGTTAGCTTGGGTTTGGTAGGTTAGAGCAAAATAATGCAAAAAACATTCTTCCTGTATCTTATAGTTTTCCATGGCAAGAAAACTTTTCCCTCTACTGTATAGTATACACACTTCATCAAGTTGCTGCCGAATATGGACCACTGTTGTCAAGTATTTTCATATAATTTAATTTTAAGTTATTGATTAATGTGCACAATTGTCATCCTGTGTTACCTGAATTTCTTTGGTTAAGGTGAAGAACATGGTTAGCAGTAGAACTAACTTATGTAATTGAAGCAAAATTTCTGGAGATATTACAGCTACTCCCTGACTTACAACCACCCGGACATACGACCGCCTCAGTCGTACCAAAATTTTGTCAAATTACCGGTACGTATTTTTTAGTCCCAATGTCAGTGACTGCGGTGTACTGACAAAATTTTCGTTTGTAATTCACTTTAAAATGGCTGGCAAGCTTAAAAGTGAGTTTTGTGGTGCTGAGAAGAAAAAGAGACTCCCATTTTAGATTTTCTTTGTACTGTATTATTTAAGCATTTTTGACTTACGACCTGGATTTAGGTCCCTAACCTCGTCGTAAGTCGGGGAGCAGCTGTATTTGAATGACGCTAAACATGAAAATGGAAATGACGATGCAGAGAACCTAACCCAACCAACCTAACTTCCTAGCCAGACCCCCCCAGCATATTAGGCAGAAATAACTAAATTACCATATTTTACGGCATATAAGAAGCACCCCCCATTGTAGCAGGGAATACCAACTTGGAGTTTTCTGAGTCTAATTAAGGTAAGGTTTAGGGTTAGGTTTTGGATTATTCTGACCTTCATTTTTAAAGCAAATTACTACATTTTGTGGTTTTCCCTCACCCAAAACCCCTATTTTTTTTGGGGGGGGGGGGCCTTTCTCTGAGAGTAATCATGAGCGGGAAAAATGCCATAGAAGAAACGTGTCTTAGAATTGTCTAAACTACTGATTCCAAAAACTTAAAATCCTAATAGTCGCCGGATGACCTAAATGATACTCCAGTGAATGAGTTGCTACAGCATCAAGTGAGGTTCCTCATAACACCATCTGTGAGGGAATTACTACACCACATGATGCCCCTCATAACACCATCCGTGAGGAAATTACTACGCCATGTGATGCCCCTCTTAACACCATCTGTGAGGGAATTACTACACCACATCAGGCCCCTCATAACACCATCTGTGAGGGAATTACTACACCACATCAAGCCCCTTAAAACACCACCTGTGAGGGAACTACTACTCCACGTGATGCCCCTCGTAACGCCATCTGTGAGGGAGTTTCTACACTATGTGTCTGCTGTTCAACACCTCAGCTCACATGATCTACGTGACCTCCGCTGTAAACATTAATCTGTATGTTCACTGTATGTTCCTTCACCTTTCTCCAATGAAGGCTTTTGTTAAACCACCAATGTATGTAATAAGTCATTTAAGTCCAATGTATATTTTCAGCCTTCGGGCTGCAGAACTTTTTCAATAAACCGCTTATTATTATTATTATTATTATTATTTTTATAATTTTACCAAAAATTTACATTTCACTTGTTGCCACTTAACGAATCTCATTAATTTTATTGCTGCAATTGATAATTTTGACAAATCAAAGACCCTTCTTCAGTGGCATTTCCGGCACTAATTACGTATAAGCAAGATACAGTATTTAACATTTTATTATGTATTTTCATACATGGCGGAACACACCCAGAACATCAAACCACTGTGGAGCCCCCAGGTTAGGTCGATTCAAACATGTTTTTCAATGATTTTTTTATGTGTTTTGAACACTTTTTACCTTGACTTTTATAGCAAATCTCAGATTTTGAGATGGTGTGAGGGGGGGGGGGCTTATTTCAGAAACTATGGATTTGGGCAAAATTTCACTTGTTGCCACTATACAAAATCGAAGTTGAAACTATGTTTTTCCAAAGGTTTTTGATGTTATGAACAAATTTTACCTTCATTTCTGGTGCAAATCAATAGGTGTTCAAAACACATCACAAACTATCAGAAAAACAAAACCCTAACCTAACTCCACAGTTGTTCGATGTTTTGCGTGTGTACTGTCAAGTACGAACCTACATAATAAAATGTTTAGTATCTCGCTTAAACATAATTTGTGCCAGAAATACTATTGAAGTATTGCCTTAGAATTGTCAAAATTACTGATTGCAACTAAAAAAATCACGAGATTCATTTAGTGGTAATAATTGAAATAATACCTTGATTTGTGTCAGAAATGAAGGTCAAATTTGTTCATAACACATCAAAAACCATCGGAAAATCAGTTTCATTTCGATGTCGTATAATGGCAACATGTAAAATTTTACCATTAATGTACTTTAGTTTCAGTTATCTGGGGAATCTTAGGAATTTAGGTTAGGTTAGATATAGCTCCTGGGTTCTGTGGCTATGTTAGGTTAGGTTTGATATAACTCCTGGGTTCTGTGGCTATGTTAGGTTAGGTTTGATATAACTCCTGGGTTCTGTGGCTATGTTAGGTTAGGTTTGGATATCTAAATACTGTACAGAGATGACCAAAACTAAAATTTTTACCATAAAAACAAAAATTTTCTTCCAAAATTTTTTCAAGGTCAAGGTATACTATTTGACTAAAGTGAAGCTATCAACTTTATATGATAATAATATGATAATGACTTGTAACCTGCAGAGAATTGGGTATATTCTTACTACTAACACACAAACTCTGGGAATGTGTCAACCATACAAAGTTGAAAACCTCTTCTTGTCAGATCAGCAAAGTTAAGGATAATTGGATCTGGTTAGGTTAGGTTAGGAACACCAGATGCTGTTGGCATTTAGATTAAAGGAACCTACTGAAAAGACGTAAGGAAGTAAATATTAAGTCAAATAATTCAAGAAATGTGAAGGAGCCGGGGCGACCATCAGCGGCGGCCAATGAGAGCGCCGTTGCGTGGCCCTCTCCACCAATCACAGGCCGCAGTCCCCGGCGTCTGCATAAACAAACCTGTTAACCTTCCTTCTTCGCCTCTTTAAGGCTCTAACCACCAATTATATTAATGTTTCTGGCACAATAAGAAACAGAACAACGATCATATTTAATGAAACACGAATAAACTGTCACACCGCAACAATAATTCTCTGGTAGGAATATTTTACCTCGACTCATGGCTCTATCCCGTCGGTGGAGTGTCAACAGACCAACTAGGAAGGGAGGGGAGTGATAAGTGGAATGATAAGGAGGATATAAGTGGTCGATTGATATCATAAATTATCTTAATAGTTTCATGTAGTATTAATAAATAGGTGATGAATTACTGATTCATGATTTTAATAATTGTATGTATTATAAAATTTTAATGAATTGCACAAAATATTTGTTAAATTAAAACCTCCTTTCCTTATGCTTCAAGTAATTATAATAAATAATATTCACCAAATAATATTCGTGTTACCGAGATAAAGTATGTGTTTCTTGTAATGCCTCATGCATATCTTATATTTGTAATACCTTTGGAGGTGGAGACACCGTGTTACAGGTGTCCCGCAGTGTCATATTGATGTATATGAAAAACTTTGTTTTATATATATACAGTATATATATTTGTTGTCAGATTGAAAGTATAGGCTATAGAGTACACATTTTAGGTGTAATGACCACAGTCGTACACGTCACATCGTAAAATCAGACGATTCATATTACGCTCAATAGCCCACACAATATGTAGCTATGCCTTCTTTATTGAGTCTCACATCTAAGTGTCCGTTTTCCCATTGTTCCTTAGCTTAGGTGCCGTCCATTTTCTCTGACTTCCTGAAACAAACTTCTCTTTAAAGTAAATCTGAATGTGAGAGAGAAAAACTTTGTTTTTAGTCAACTTAGATATGTCTGATTACAGTTAAAGCATACAAGATCATTTGTGAGTGATGTTGAAAGCTTTAACTGTCTTTATTGTTCGTAACACTTGTTAAGTGAGTGTCGAGTCTGCCTATGAATGGCATCCGATGATATTGTCCCTGGGGATAGCCATGAATTTCTGAGTACTACTGAAATTAGATCATATTGATGCCAAAACATCAGAGAATCTGATGATTGTAGTTTATTTAGTGTCAGTTGTCTATTCAAGAAAGCCATTAATCTCCTGAAAGAACATGTCAAACTTCTTATCTCCAAGATCTCAACCTATACCTATCGAGGGTCCTTGTCTAGAAATTTCGCTTATGTTGGGAGAATGAAGTTAACAGCGTGTGTATTTCACTTTTTTCAGGCAAGTTCAATCTCTGATTAGATTATAAAAATAGACGTCAGAAATTCACCTGACCCATGGCATTGATTTTCATAGTTAAATGTATAGCAGCTGAGTTGAATGTAATATCTTGTCATTGCGTGATTAGCCTTTCTGGCATGGGTAATGCACAGGCCTGAGCTGCCAGTTAGCCGTATATAAACTGGTGCCCAAGGAGTAGCATCACATCTCTGACGCTTCTCCATCATTATCTCAGGTATGTGTACGATTCTCCGCCCGCCATATTAAGTCAGTTTAACTTAGTGAATTTTGTGAATAACAGTGTTCATGTTGTAACAGTGAAATTATCATTTACCCAGTGAAAGAATTAATGTAATGTAAAAATCGTTTGTCGTTGCTTGACGAAAGATTGTTGGCGATTGAGTTATTTTTGTCACATCTCTGACGATTTTCCATCATTATCTCAGGCACAGTGTGTGTGTTAGCTGAATACTCAACAGTCACCGGGGGACCGGTAGCTGCACACCAGACACCAGCTGGCTACCTCGCAAGATGTCGTTCAATGGGCACAATTAAATTGTGCGAGTCCGCACCCTGGGAACTAGGCCTGAACTCCCCCTGAAGTGTGTCGGACTACAACCGACCCTAACAGCGTGATGACACCAGTGTGACACCCTGGGGCACTCCTTACAGTTATATGGGCCAAAGTATTATTGTTGTATATGATTGGGGATAATTAGCAGAAATATAGTTATCCCATGATGAGTAGTGAACCCATAAATATGGATAGTATCAATAAATATGTAATGTGAGTTGAGTACATCAACTGAGGGAAAAGTGCCATGTTGTTCATTCTGAACGAACATATTATAAATCATAAGTTAGCTTGGGATATTGTCAAGTGTGTCATAGAACCATCTGTAGTGAAAATGAAATAATATAATGATTGTTTAATGTTGTAACCAAGAATTGAAGATTTATTTTGCTACTTGTAAAAGTAAGACCTAAGGGTCCAGTATACTGCCCGATTCTGGGGTCACTACTTTTAAGGGTGTACTGCGCACATCATTGTCATCCTTAGAATCCCTTTAATTCATATTATGCTACATAACAATCAAATCCACCGCGCTTGTAGAATCTCAGAAAAACGGGAAACGTTGATAAAGGATAACTCACCTACTGAATGTTCATGAATTGTTTGATGAATTGTACTCAGGTACGGGTATATAATATTAAGTGTATGTACTCATAGCATTAAGGAGAACTTAAGGTATCTATAAGATGGTTGGGAAAGTCCAATTGATACGGACTAGTGTACTATAAGGGCTAAGTGTAGATCGTGTTTGAAGGTCATACTATTTACGTCTGTGAACGATTAGTGAACATAGCTACCGCAGATATCAGATGAAAATACATGAGAACAATGATCTGGAAAAAGGATAAATGTATCAGACCTATGTGAAGTGTTGGAAGTGATCCAGAAACTTTGCTTCAAAGAAAATATCTTGTATACCCACGCCATGAAAATATGACTCTAGGCTTTGTTCAGGTTGGCGCCGAGGCCGCCTCCTGCCTGCCGCGTTGATATTATAACCCAATGAATTTCCCCAGGAACTAGCAAACCAGAACCTTACTTTAGTGTGTAATTTTGGATTAAGATGTATAACTATAAGGCATATACAGTATACTGCCAAATTCTGAGGTCACTAATTCTAAGGGGATAACTTAAGCAAGCTATGGAAGTAGGAGAGACAGTATGGGTGAGGAAGGAATTTTCCATCCCTGGGACCAGTAGGAAATTAAATGCCAAGTGGAAGGGTCCGTATACTATAAAAGAAAGTATACGAGGTGATGCTGCGTATGAGTTGACTAACCCATTGGATGAAAGTGAGGTGATAAAGAGAGTGGCTGAGAAAGTAAAGAGGTGTGTAAGTAGAGACATGTTTGTTCAGCTGAATTAGCCCCTTCTTTCACCTTATGATTCTTCCTCGGACTCAGGTTCAGATGAAACCGACGATGAAAGAGATAGCGGAAGTGTGGAAGATTCCATGCTAATAGATCCCCTGTGAGACAGAGGAGACCAGTAGTTAGAATGGATTTGTAGGACATATAGTTCCAGAATGTCACGTCGATTGAATATTTTTGGCTACACATTATGATAGAGTTGATTTGTTTAATTATACATTTTTTGGTGGGGGGAGACAGTTGCTCAGGTGGTTTGTCAGAATGCTTATTGAAGATCGGCCGTTAGAAGTGGTATCTATAATGAACTAAAATTTTTTTGGGGGGTTGTTGACTTTGTCAGCTGTCATGAAGTCACCCCGACATTGAAAATACCAGCTCAAATGTCTGGGGTCCGCCCCCTGCCACCTCAGTGTAGGGCGAGGGGACCACCGTCTAGGAGGTGTACTTCGTGCAGACAGCCAAGGCCCTCTACCTGTCATTGGAGGCTTGCAAGTGCCTCAACTTGGTGCCTGTCGACTTTCCGCTCCATAGGCGTGCTGTGGCTGCCGTGGGCAATGGAGGGGGGCAGCACATTGCCGACGACCTGCCTCCGAACCCTGGACCTGAGAGCAGTCGTGTCCCTCCTAGGCCAGTTGAGATGCCCTTACCTCCTTTGGAGGAGAATGTGACCAGGTTGGAGGCATGGCTGCTCACGCACTTCTTCATCCACCGCATTCAACACCAGCAGGTTCCCACTGCCAGTCATGACTGGTCCCCCTCACCGTATCCACCTGACGCCCGGCACGACCCCCTATGCCTGTCACACACCTGCTCCCGTTCCGAAACACTGGGAAGCGGAGGTGAAGGCCCAGTTGGAGGAGGACGTCAGGAGATGCGTCATCCAGCCAGTGCCTGCTGATGAGGCTACGGATTGGTGCGCCAGGATGGTCGTGGTGGCCAAGGAAAAAGGTCAGCCCAGGCGCACTGTAAACTTCCAACGCCTCAATGCAAGCTGTCTGAGGGAGACGCACCACACACCTGCACCATTCGACATGGTGTCCGGGGTGCCAGCGCACTCGTTCAAAACCGTCGCCGACGCCTTCTGGGGATTTCATCAGGTGGAGTTGGAGGAGGAGAGTAGACGCCTGACCACATTCATCACGCCGTGGGGCCGTTTTCGATACTGCAGGACGCCCATGGGACATTGTTCAGCATCAGATGCCTACACCAAGAGGTTTGACGACGCTATTCAGGATGTGCCCAGCAAGTACAAGTGCGTAGATGACACTCTCCTCTATGACTCCAGTGTGAAGTGGGAGTTCTGGTACACCTACGATTTTCTGGAGACCTACGCTCGCACAGGTACACACTGAAACCAGAAAAGTTCTTGATCTGCAGGAGAGAAGCCGAGTTTGTGGGTTTCCTCCTGGGGTGGGACCTCTACCAGCCCACTGCCCAACGTCTGTCAGTCATCAAGGACTTCCCCATGCCTAATCAGCCATCAATCACTGACATCAGGTCCTGGCATGGCCTGGTTAACCAGTTGGCTCCCTTCCTTGCCACTGCACCTGTGATGGAGCCCTTCCGTGAGCTCCTCAAGAAGCCAGTGGGCAAGCTGGTGTATTGGGACGTCCAGCTGCGGCTCAAGTTTCGCCAGGCCCAGGGCACCATATGTCAGTTGGCCAGGGACGGCTTGGTGTACTACAACAAATCCAGGCCTACGGCAGCTGTCACTGATTGGAGCAGGGAGGGCATCGGCGTCATCGTCCTGCAACAACACTGTGCCTGTGCCTCGCCAGACGCCCTTCTGCTGCAGGGGAGGGTGGCTGTTGGCTCTGTGCGGTAGCCAACATCTGAGCACGGCCGAGGCCTGCTACGCTGCAGTAGAAGGGGAGGCCCTGGCGGTGGTATGGTGGCTGCGCAAGGCCAGGCTGTTCCTCTTTGGCTGCCCGAACCTCATTCTGGTGACGGACCACCGCCCCTTAGTTGGCTTGCTAGGGGACAGAGCCCTTACAGATGTGGCAAATCCGCGCCTGTTCAGGCTCAAGGAGAAGACCCTGCAGTTCCGGTTCACGGTCAAGTACTTGCCAGGGAAGCGGAACTGTGCAGCTGACGCCCTATCCCGCTTCCCCTCCCTTAGGGCGGCGCCCGACGTGGAGGACATGGCCCAAGAGGAGGACCTGTGTGCTGCAGTGTGTGTGCGGTCACAATCGCAGCACTGGATCAGGATGGGTGCATCACTATGGACGAAGACACCGAGTGCAAAGCAGCTGCGGACGACCCCATATACCAGATTCTAGTGTCGAGGGTGCTGGCGGGCGACTGGTGCCCCCACAAGTCACAGGAGGTGGCCTGTCTGTGCCCGTGTAGGGGCCATGTTGGCGTCCTTTTCAGGGCTGTTATGGCGTGTCGGGCCCTAGCATCCTACTCACTGCGCCATGTGAGAGGTTTGAATAATAGACCAGGTTCTATTTTGTGTAAGTGTTACACTAAAGTAATCGGTAATTTCAGGAGCCAGTGCATGCCCAGTACTTGCCAACAGTGCATAACAGAGACATGACCGAGCGCCCAAGCGGCTAACGAGCCGATCAGTGGTGAAGAGGATAAAAGTAAAAAAGTAAAAGAACCTAATGGTGCCTATTAGAACGCCTGCAACTGCCTAGCTTATACTACAGACAGGCAAGGGGTGACATAATTGAAATTTACAAACATCTCGGAGGGCACTACTCAGTCGAGTGTCCTTACCTGGAGCTGGCGAACGCCCACCCCACAAGGGGTCACAGCTTAAGGTTGAAGAAGCCTCAAGTTCAGAAAATTGTGTGGGCAAACCTTTTCGGAGAGTTGTGAGCTCTTGGAACAATCTGCCAGCGAGTATTGTGACGGCATCGAGTGTGAGTTCATTTAAGGCCAGACTTGACCAACACTGAAGCAGGTACAGATATATTCTGAAACCAGTGCATGCCCAGTACTTGCCAGTAGTGCGTAATAGAGACGTGGGCGACCGCCCAAGCGGCTAATGAGCCTCATGAGTTACAACATTTGGTGCTTCTTGTTGACAGTCGTATATATCAGGGCCATCGTTGAGGACATAGATATAAAGGCATGAAGTCCACGCCAGCGATGAATATAAGAGTTTTATCTAAAGGGAAAGAAGAAAACGAACAACGTATCATGGTACACTATTTTACTGTGCAATATCCCAACACTTCGTAGGGCACCACTAAGTTGTACGAGACAAAACAGGATAACAAACAGCATACTTTTATTAAAGGTTAATACTGACTGTACATAAGAGCAGAACTGACTGGTAATATTAGACATAACAATCACACTAATATCATCACTACTTAATGTTACCTATACTATCACCCACTAGAACAATATGGTTATTTACCACAAAAAAATACTTATTGATATTTTTAACTAACCACAACATTAATAGCTTCACATCTTCATCTTGGCTGACACATCGTCTGGCTTGGCATATACCCTCAATTTGCTTCAGTCACGGCGGATTCTGAGATGAGATTGATCTTGAAAGGACAACATTAAGATGAGGCTGACTGAGTGACTGACTCAGGCCAGTCTGAGGCTGATGACACACACTTAATTCAGTAAGTCTAACTGAGGTCAGCTAGTAAACTGACTAACGATGAAGAGTATAAAGAGACTGAGAACATGTAGAGTTGTGGTTCAGATAGATTATAAAAGTTACAGCTACTCATTTGTTGTGGAATTAGAATCCTTTTAAAAGATCAATATTCTTAATTATCCAGCATAAAAATCCACCAAAAGTCATTAGAGAGGCGAAGTTTAGCATCCATCTGGAGTAATAGCAGTGGCGATGTACCATCACTGGTTAGAAGGTGGATCAAGGAATTATCAGACACGTTGGTCACTATCCGGATGGCTTGCATACTATCCTGACTGATTGAAAACTATCTGGATAACTCATACATTATCTTGACATCTGACACTCCATCCTGACAGTTTGCATACTATCGTGACAGTGTTAATACTATCGTGGCAGCTGACACACTATCCTGATAGCTTGCAGGGGATCTGGGAATAAGAAAGATGGAAACCGCGGTTCATGTAGTCATGCACTAGACTAAACTCGTCCGCGTCCGTGACCATCCGAACAGTGAAGGGTTTGGAATAGCCTGGAAAGAAAAGTATATTATTTAATCGCGAGTTCCAGAGATTTTTTCCCTGAAAGGTTTGATGTTCCAGTGATATTTTTAAGATTGTTGTTTGGGGAGCGTCGAAAAATGTATAACCACAATGATAATTATTTTTTTTGAATGTTTTTTCCCATTTTTGTTAGTTTTTATTAATTTTGCTATACAGTATATCATTTTGTTTTAATTGTTTGTTTGTTTGTGTACTCACTAGTGACGGTGCCCCACTTCCTGGCGGTGCCTAGCTTGGTGCCGCAAAAGCGCTCGTATGTGTCACTGCCGTGGTCATTCTCAGCTCCTGGCACCCACAGGTAGTCAGACATGCAGCCGGAGTCAGCTACCTGTAGTCCATATTACAGACGTTAGTTTACAAAGGCTCGGAAAGGACAACAATATAGCCTTCTTTTGGGACATTGTTACAGCCATGCAGAGATCCACAAACAGTAATTAATAGTTATACAGTGTCTCTTTTAGCTCTCCCATTGTCTCGTTATTTCAATTCTTTTTATATTTCTGCAATCATGAATCCTATGTTTATTATTAGTTACTCTTAATCATCCTTCAAATTCAGCTAATCACTCGTCGTCGCTGTCGGGTAAAGTTACTGGGTCTGGGTGGTGTTCTTGTTTATATGTATCCTTCTGCTCTATGACACTATTGTCCGTCAGAATCCACACTTCCTGGTTCATGTTTCTCTTCTTCATTCCCTTTAACCCCGTCATTCATCGACCTCACTATCTCTTCCTTCACCGTTTCTCTCATTTCTCACCGTTTTTGCCCCCCCCCGTCATCTTCCCTTACACCCATTATTTTCCTTGCCGTCCCTAACCTAGTGTTCCATACCCCATCTCCCCTGCTATACTTACCGTTCTTAATTCCCCTTCCACACCTGCCTATTTTACCTCCCCTCACACACTGGACGTCTTTACCTTCCCTCACACACTGGACGTCTTACCTCCCTCTCCATCACCCCCCTTTTGTCCTCACCTCGGCGAGAGAGACAAGGGCGTCGTCCCTGTAGGTGGTGACATTGGTGAGGGAGAAGCCGGTCTTGCCCATCTGCTGGTACTGGATCCCACAGAACCCAGACTCTGGCTCCACACATATGCTGTAGTCCAGGTTGTTGTAGTGGCCTGAAGGGAGGGTGAGAGGAGGAGATGTTAGCTTTGGTTGTGTCGTTAAAGGCAACCTGAGAGAGGGTGATGCAAACTATACCTGCAATGGGCATTCCAGTATATAATGTGGCAGGGTATGGGATCTGGATGTTCTACAAACTCTACATTCTTTATCCTGTTCACTTCTCTCAGCTCCAAGTTCCCAGTAATATTTATATCCTAATCTTAACCTCATATACACTCAATCTTTCCACCTGCTCCTATCTTTCCCATATGTAAAATCTGTGTTCATGAGAACATGATGGTAATGTTTCATTGTTTCACTTATCTCATATATTTCATTCCTTTTTAAATTATCTTCTATTGATTAACACCTTAATTGAGTACTCTGACAGCTACAATACACTACGCTTTACCTTAACTGGTACACAACACAGCATCATAATATTACCGTAACACTCTCTTTTATCTCATCCTTCTTTTACTCCTCTTCTTCCTTTCTGCTCATCCGTCTCTTATTCTGTCCTTCCCAACAACTTTTAATCTTTATTTTTCCTTTAATATCCAAAGGTGGTAGAGGGTGAGAACCGTGAGACATTCTCCTAAACTCACCCGTATAGCCGACCCGGATGTCACAGTCAGAGGGATGCTTGATGGTGGAGAAGTCACACCAGCGGTCCTCAGAGTAACAGCCGACACCATCGAAGTTGAAGCTCTTGAAGTTCCCCGTCAGACCCTGGTAGTACTGGAGGCAACCCACTGGCGCTGGCAAGGGGAGGGGGGAGGGTGGTGAGGGCCGATGGATAGTTCCAGATTACGGTAAACCTTCTCAATAACACACTTCTAAATAAAGTAATGAATACAGTAAACCCTCTCAATAACAGACTTCTCAATAGCGGATATTCTCAATAACAGAATCCTCCCAATAATGGACAGGGCTTTCAAGAATTAGTTCGGTATTGGGATGGTTTACTGTATACGAAAAATTAGTGTAGAGAATTATTTCAGATTCTAAAGAATTAACTTGCTGAGGGAGGATTAAACAACAGTTATTAAGATTATGAGAAAAGATTATTCTGCTTCGTAAGTCTAAATCACCGAACGTGACTTAAATTAACCAAACCAAACCTAACCTAACCTAACCAGGTCGTAAATAGTAGGAAGCTATCAAACATGGAGGGACTGACTCACTCTCACTTAAGACTCACCTTTAGGGACTCGGGACTTGGGACAGTCACAGGGGATCTGGGTGACGCGGACGCTCCACGCCCTCCTGGTGGGGAAGCTCAGAATGTTTGCCTCACTGTGTACAAGAGAAACCAGATCATGTGAAGATTAGGTCTAAACAAGGTTAGGTTAAAGTGCTTAATCATCAAGGGGAAACAGCCTGGGGTTGCCTAATCTTCACGTGAGTCCAAGGTCCTTCTACAGTAACACCGCCGAGAACAGTAGGTAGTGACTTACTCGTAGTTGTAGAGGGCCACGGTGGCGTCCTTCTCAGTGGTGGTGGGGACAGGGGTGGTGGGAGTGGTGGTGGTGGTAGTGGTGGTGGTGGTGGTGCTCTCCGATGTCTGTGAGGTGAAGGTTGAGCTGGAATCCTGTAGGAATATCAGTTGTACAGCTAGCAGGATAATAATAATAATAATAATAATAATAATAATAATAATAATAATAATAATAATAATAATAATAATAATAATAATAATAATAATTAAAAAAAAAAAAATAATAATAATAATATATTAATAATAATGTATTAAAAATTATAAATAATATAGTAATGGTCAGGAGTGTAGAGATAGTGTGTGTGTAATAATAATAATAATAATAATAATAATTAACGGTTTATTAAGAAAACATGGCTGCTCGAAGGCTGAAAATATACAATGAACAGAGATGATAAGTTGCATATGGTGAAATCGTGGATTGGGTCACTTGATTGACAAAAGCTTTCAATACAAAAACATACGAAACATAGAGTCAAAATATAGATTATCTTTAGATCTGGTACGTGTGTGTGTGTGTGTGTGTGTGTGTGTGTGTGTGTGTCTGTCTGTCTGTGTGTGTGTGTGTGTGTGTGTGTGTGTGTGTGTGCTTTGGCAGGCACACCTATGTTCTGCTTTCTTGTGACTTACTGTTAACCCTGAACAGCTACCTAGTGATGTTACGCCAACATTCTAATGACAGGTGAGGACTATAATCCTCACCACTCACCTGTCTGGGAAGGGGTAGTTCCTCACCCTCTGTGATGATCTCCCCATCTCTTCTTTGGGCGGCCTGAAGGTCGTGGTGATGAGCGGGGGACCTGCGACTCCTCCGACGTAGGTGTGGTTGTGGGGCATCGGCGGCGTCACCCTCCTGGTGGGTGTGTGAGGTGGTGGCGTCGTAGATGTCGTAGCAGTGGTAGAGGTAATACTCCAGCTGCTGCAACATGAACGTCAGCTCCGTCTTGCTGCGACCTTCCACGTTCACGTACACTGTGGGTATGGTACTGTACGTTCATTGACACTCAGTAGCTTGTGTTCAGTGACACTGGTTATATTACGTTCATATATACACTGTGTGAATAATAAGTCCTGGTGACTGTATGTGCAGTAAGCTTATGAGCCTTGAGGCCAAAGTGAGGTACGTAGTTTGGATGAGGGCGATGGGTGACGTTAACGTGTGTGGAGGGAGAGGTTGGGAGATGTTTTGTGTGCATAAGGAGGGGCTGGGAAACAAACATACTGTGGGAGCCGTTGTTGATGCCACAGAGGAAGGGGAGAGGCACGGCACTCTGGGAGTAGAAGCGGTCGTATTTGCACTCGCCCCAGTACGGCGGCTGTAGCTGGAACTCGTCGAAGTCCAACCTGAAGAAAGAGGACCACTGTCTGTGAGACGCTTCTGACGAGCAAACCGCTCTCTTCCCTGATGCTGTATTAATGTAATCTTCTGCTGATGCTAAATATTTCTAGATAAGTTAATTAAGCATTTAGTGTAGACCGAAAGTCCGGTTACATATTTTCTGAGACCAAATGCGCAATATATTTGCTTTTATAAATGCCTAAAGACATTAAAGTAACAGAAGGGGTTTTTACCTCTCCAGCACACTACTACAACCTGTATTTACCTTCACTGTACACTTCCTCCCTCGTCCCAGCTACACAACAATGACAAGCATGACAACAGCCTTCAGCTGTCTCTCACAAACGCTAAACCTGATAAAAAGTGCGGGTGTTACACTTGTAGGTAGTGTGTGTGTTCCCGTGCAACCCCCCAGGCCCTCACCTCCACTACTCCTTGCACCACCTTGTACTCCTCCCTCCCCTGTTGGCCTGACCTGAGCTGACATATAGGGGACTCGCAGCTGTGGTCGATGGTGACAGAACACTCGAGGGAGTCGTTGCCTACGGTCGCGGGGTAGGACGGTGATACGAAGGTGAACTCCAGCGCTTTAGTGGTCGATCCGCACGATAGCGTCTCTGTCAGAGAGTAAAGGAAGAGAGGCGTGGGGGTGTGTGTGTAATAACTGCACGTGTCCTGGACCTCTCAGTTACTCACTAATCTTCTTCATGTTCCGTCATCATAATAAACTGTATTCTCTGATTATTGTTACCATACTGTATTGATCACTTTCTTTACTGTATAATGTATTGAATCAAACTGTATGTAATACTGTATTAGATAAACAAGTTTTACGAGGTTTGAACTCTCAGTTGATAACAGAAGGTAAGGTAATGCTTGACGGGTAAGTCATATAAACTTTATATATACGGTACCTTCCCTGACATAGTAGGTGACGTTGAACCCCCTGCAGGAGCCCTTGGCGTTAGAGGCGAAAGTGAGGATGAGTGTGTCGCCCTCCGAGGTGATGGTGCCAGGACTATGGGAGCCGCAGTACCGCTCTTCCTCCCCGGAGACACTGGCAGCCACACTCACATAGTCGCCGGAGCAGCCCTCAGACCCCGTCACGTCGAAGTCCCAGAACTGTAGCTCGATCTTCTCGTTGTGTGGCGTCTGTGGGGGGCGGGGGGGGGGGGAGACAAACAACGGTAGTGTAAAGAAGCTCAAGTGATCTATCGCCCAGAATGAACCACCATCCTCGATTCTTTAGTATAGTGTACAAAGAGGCGCCGCACTGTCATACATAAAATTAATCCGCAGAAACTTTTACTCATCTAAGAGCTTAAGGATATAATACTTTATAGTAAATATTGTTAACATTTGCTTACAGCTTACTGGGAATAGCCCACCTGGGCACAGGTCACTGACCCACATCGGGGCTGATAAATACGCTGTATTATAAAAGAAATGTCATGAACTAAAGGACGGAGGAACGTAATGGAGGGGCGGAGGGACATAAGGGGATCTCTGCTGTATCCCCCACCCACTCTTCTCTGCTGGTGGCGGGGAGAGATAATACATAGTGAATGAGAGATGATAATAGAGCCTTACGAGGACAAGGTGTGAGGAGGGAGAGAGAGGGAGGGAGGGAGGGAGGGAGGGAGGGCGGGAGAGAGGGAGAGTGCCAGTATAGAACTCAGGTAAGCAGTACCCAGGAGGGAGCGCGTAAGGTAAAACTGGGATAGAGAATACACAGGGTAAAGGCAAAGAGAGTGTCGAGATATCATTCTGAGTTCCAATCACGTGCACTGTTGTTTCCTCACACACTAACACACGGTGGGTAAACGGTGACAGCCTCTCCCTCTACACTACCGGGCCGGTATCTTCGGTAAAGGCGGATTTGTCAACTGTTTTGGTGAGGGAAGTCGTTATCGTGATGTTGTAGAGGCCGTAAAATGCGTGTAGCGGCCACACACAACAAAGAGGCAGAGTACCACAACAAGTCTGGCGCCACCGAGGTTTACGATACATGAGGTGGACGTCTGCTTGGCTCACATAGTCTACATGGCTAGAATTACTGACCTCCTCTGTGTTATGTCATCCTCTAGATGCAGAAAAACGGAAAGGAGAAGAAGCAGGAGAAGAGGAGGAACGGGGATAGCAACCACAACAACCAGCAGGTCTTTTATCCCCAAACCTGGTGTAGCAATAACAGGAAAAGACAAAAATAAATATATTGATCTCTATCTCTCATATCCGTCTCTTGTCTATCTATCTTCCTTAATGGACACGATGAAGGTTTAGAAAAGGTCATAAAACTTGCAAGATTAGGTTAAAAAACTCTCTCTCTCTCTCTCGCTCTCTCTCTCTCTCTCTAGACGTGAAGGATCACTGGCTAGGAGGGGTGACGTTGATGGAGCTGTCTAGTATTAAAAGCTTTCTTCAGGGTTCACTTGGCCTGAGCCTCACTTGATCCATCTTGGTGACGACCCAGAGTTATTTTAGGGGGGGGGGTGTACTTGAAAGGTGTCATCGCTATCTTGGTGACTTGGAGGTGATGTTAGAGGTGTCTTAGTGACAGTTAGGTGACGTCTGGTTTGTCTATTTGTCCGTCTGTCAACAAAATATCTCACCAACCAGACGATTGATTCAGATACAACTTTGACGTCATCAGCGTAGTTCAGTTGATAAGCGAGGCCAACGTGGTATGATTTTTAGAGGATGTTCTATACTGTATGTCAAAGGTCACAGTGGTCAACGATAATTGCAAGGTATGGTGATGATGATGATGTTGCTTGGTCGGGTCATTGCAATTTCAACAGCGTCAGGAGGGCGAAAGATCCATGTAAAGTCGAGGTTACATGTAAAGTCGAGGTTACAGAGAGAGAGAGAGAGAGAGAGAGAGAGAGAGAGAGAGAGAGAGAGAGAGAGAGAGAGAGAGGGAGGGACGTGTGTAGCGCTCACTGTAAGTCTCTTGGGAGAGGGGGAGAGACAGAGACAGTAGAGGAGGAGGGAGGGAGAGGGGAGAGAGTATAAAGAAGAGAGCAAGGGGTAAAGTGAAAAGAGAGGGGACGAGAGGAGGGAAGAGGGCTGAAAGGGGTAAATAGAAAGGAAAGGAGGGGGAGAGTGTAGAGAAGAGAGCAAGAAGAGGGGAAGGGAGAAGAGAGAGAGATGGGAAAGATGTAATGAAGGGAGATAGAGAAAGAGACGCACGGGGGAATGGATGAATGATGTTTATTAATTAATGAGGTAGAGTCCAGAGTGAAAGAGAGAGAGAGAGAGAGAGAGAGAGAGAGAGAGAGATGACGTCACTTGTAAAGTATTGAGAATCGAAAGAATAGAAAATAACAAAACAAAGAATAATAATAATAAGGATAATTACACAAACGAATAAAAATAGTAAAAATAGAAAGAACTAAAGAGAGCGAAAGGCGATTATAAAAGAATATTTACGATGATGAAAACTCTAACACACGGATACAGAGTAATTAAATTAAAAGCAGCGGAGGGATATCACTTTGACCGAGTCTATCCTTAATTATTTGATTATACGTTTTCTATATTGAGTTTCTGAGAAGGGGCATAGTGTTGCCAGGCAGAGGGAAACACCAGAATAGATAATGTTGGAATATTTACCACGATGTCATTTCTTTGAGTAGATGATTAATATTTACATTATCTAACGTAATCAAAATTAAATTAATATTATGTTTAGTTAGGATAGGTTAAGTTTCGTTCATTCCCGAGGTCTGAAAATTATCAATGGTTGTGTTCGTGGTACTTTCCAGTCTTCCCTAATATGATAAACTTTATTATAATTGTTTCTCGTTGTAAGATTGGGAACTAGTTTATACTTTATAAAAACTTTTAACACTAATTTAACAATTAAAAAATAATTAAATCTTGGTCTGGCTCAATTTGCTTATATTTCATATGAGATGTTGTAAAATGAAGTGAAATTAAAATTCTTATCGTGTATCATAAAAAATAAACTAATTTACCAAGGGGTCAATATGCTGTAAACAGGTTCCAAGTCGCTACGTTAGGGTAGTTAATCTTATGATAAAATAACCTGAGTTATTTAATCTTCAGGTGACCTAATTCAGTTGTAGGTACATAAACAAAAATCAAGATAGCTCTAAGAAAATACATCGCGTGACTGATGACTCTAAATTCCCAGTATATCGACAGGTGGAGGCGTCATGCTACCGGCACTAGACGGATCAATGTCACCCTGCCGCTGCTGCTGTGGGTGAGGTTCTCTGGTGACGGTCAGGCGAGTCGTAACAACGTGGTGTACACAAATGTTCCAGACTATACTGTATTAAGATTTGCACTTATGGTGTTTGTTGTAGGAATAATTATATGAGGGTATTATCATTATTAAGATTATTGTTTTTGTTGGAATACAAATGATACGGATAATGGTAACTATTAGAGGCAATTATTATTATTATTATTATTATTAATATTATTATTATTATTATTATTATTATTATTATTATTATTATTATTACTTTATTACTAGTATCTTTATGACACGATGGAACAATTCACCTAAAATATTCACAGCACGGCACGGCATGATAGAAGTAATCAGACGTTCACTTAATCAACGTCTCCAGTTCACTAACCAATGAGAAATAAGAAACATGAACACCAAAAACAACCGTCTCGACGATTTTGTTTTAATGTGTTTTAAAAGAAAGTAAGACTAGTGATCCCTATTAGAAATAAATATATGACGGCTTTGTTGGGTTACTCTTGGTCAAACTGTCTTGCTGTTTACCAGTGTTTGTATTCCTGCACTGTCTATGTATATTGTATACCTGCATTATTTATATGTGTACTGAATCAATGTAAACTTGTCTGGCAATTATACTGAATATCTCTCTATCTATCTAGTGCACGGTGTTTAATAACCAAGGTAATTGAAGCCTTTTAAATCTAAAACACCTACAAAAACAACAACACCTGAGAGAGAGAGAGAGAGAGAGAGAGAGAGAGAGAGAGGCTACCTTGTTGGCTACAGGTGAAATATACCTTGCCAGGGGAGACTGTGTCAGCCCACCACCGTGACGACAATCTACCTGACGAGGCTGATAAATAATCCCTTTTGAACACCTGACAATGTACAAGAAGTCCCGCTTCATCAGCTGAGTCGGAGGTCACACGAGTGGGAATTCAACAGAGTGGTAATGAGCTGAGAGGAGATGAGGTGAGAGAGGACTAACTGAGAGAGAGAGAGAGAGAGAGAGAGAGAGAGAGAGAGAGAGAGAGAGAGAGAGAGAGAGAGAGAGAGCATATATATGACACTACAAACCTCCGTTAAGATATAACCACAGTTCAACAAAAGGTAGTAAGAGGAGGATAAGAAGGAGAAGGGAAGGTTATAAAGGAAGAGGAGGAGGAGGAGGATGACAGACGACCTACCTTGATGGACCAAACGCAGGTGGTGTCCTCGGGGTAGTGGTCAGGGTAGCCAGGCGACGTGAGGACTCCTGTGTGGTGCTGACTGGTATCTATCGTCCCGCCGCACACTGCAACACAACGCAAATTTTATATCACATTTTCTCTCTGAGGATTACTATGAGAGAGAGAGAGAGAGAGAGAGAGAGAGAGAGAGAGAGAGAGAGAGAGAGAGAGAGAGAGAGAGTCAATCCAAGTCCCTCACCAGTCCCCCAGGTAATTGCAAAACGATATATTTACGACCATTAAACCCAACTCTCAGACGAATCTAAAAGTAAAACCTTAAATTCTTATAATTCTCGTCCATTTTCTCCAGTGAATTATTTTTATACACTTTTGTTGCTGTAGTTAAGTATGTCGTATAGTGGTCGAGGTATATCTGTGCGTATAAGCCAGGTATATACGCAGGTGGGTCTTGGGGTATATCTGTACGAATAAGCCAGGTATATACGCAGGTGGGCCTTGGGGTATATCTGTACGAATAAGCCAGGTATATACGCAGGTGGGCCTTGGGGTATATCTGTACGTATAAGCCAGGTATATACGCAGGTGGGCCTTGGGGTATATCTGTACGAATAAGCCAGGTATATACGCAGGTGGGCCTTGGGTATATCTTCCCAATCTCGCTGAAAGACGAAGGAAGATTTATCCAGTCGTAAATCTTAGGATATTGGTGAGTGAGTGTCGTGTAGAGGGAGAGGAGAGGAGGAGGAGGAGGAGGGAGAGGAGGAGGAAAAGAAGAAGAAGAAGAAGAAGGTTTCACAGGTGTTTGGCCACAAAAGACACTGAGTACATTTGTTATTTCTTTCTCTCGGACTTTATCCATCAATATTTCTCTTTCTTCTCCTTGCTCTCATAAAATTTGCATATCTCCCTTTGACCTCAAAAGCCTTGATAACAATGCTAACTAAACACCTTTTTTTTAATATACATTCTTCCCATCACGTCAACTGCCATCCATAAGGGCTAACTACACTATGGATCACCCCACGATTAGCTCCCTCCCGGCTGATAATTATACACCCTAACTCTACCTGGGTGGGTTAGGTTAGGTTAGTGTTAAGGTGAAATAAGCTGGGGGCTAATGTTCATAGTATTGTTTGGTTAGTGAATATCCCTCCACCTCCCCCTATATATACACACACACACACACACACACACACACACACACACACACATCACCGTGAGTTAAGGGATCTACTAGGGAAGAACTTTGTCAACAGGGAATATGAACTTAGGATTTATGCAAAGTAGAGGAGGTATATGTCCCTACCCCTCCCCCTCCCTGCTCCTCCTCTACCCCTCCTCCATCCAACCTCCTCTACCCTCCCCTCCCCACTCCCTCCTCCCTCTCATTCCCTCCATCCAACCTCCCTCCTCTCCTCCCTACTCCCTCCCTCTCCTCCTCTCCTCCTCCTCCTCTAACCCCCCCGAGGTTCATCACAGGACGCAGCTACCAGATTCGAGCCACTCAGGACCACGACGCAAGTTCCCACGATGTTTTGTATTTTATTTCCTCTCACTTTTTATTAAGGTCGTGAGGGCATTTCTCGTGATGGTAGAGTCTTACTGGGTTTGTTGTGTTAGAGTTACAGTGAGCCAGTTAGATGTGTTGCTAAATCGCCAGTTAACGTGGAAACTGACTGGGAGATTTTCTGGTCTGGGGATCCGATAGAGCGGGTCTTTGCTTAACCTCTCGAGTACGATGGTTTAACTTTAACTTATCCTACTCAAGGGATTATGGGTGTTTTATGACTGCATGAAAGATCAGAATTTTTTTTATTCCTGTTTTTTTTAATTATTTGGTTGTTAGGAAATAACCTGAACTGCATAATTTTAGGCAAGTCTTATATCGCCTTGCCAAGCTTGTGTGACCTGCAGACCTTCCTGATGCAACCAGGAAAAACACCGTCTCCCTTGACCGTAGTGGTTGTAACACAAGTATTGCATAGCCCCGTTCAGCACACACACACACACAGGGTCGTGACGCGCCCCAATAACCACCACTAACATTCTTCCCCGTCACCGTGGCCAAGAAGGAACACAGACTCGGGTAATTAAGTGAGCCAAGCACTCCTCTACACAACGAGCGTTTAGTCTCCTCTATCCTACCACCACACCGGGGGAAATTTAAAGCAACATAAATGCCAATGGGACTCCACAGACAGCATACTTATTGCCTGGCGGTATTTCTTTTTCAGGAGCTTGTGTGGGATTCTTGAGTAACAGGTGGACGTCAGGGCGGCTCTTCGGTATGTCAGGGTCGCACTTAACCTACATCTTACACCCCGCACGGAACCTGTGGCTTACTTTACGGGGGAAATATTTAAATTCAGCAAGAGAGAACCTTTTATTTTATTTTATTTTTTAACTGAAAATAGGAATATGACGATCGTAAATATCCCTCTATAATGAGCTAGTAAGATATAGGGATATTTTTCTCTCTCTCTCATTCAAGGCAGCTTCCTGTGCCTTTAAAGCTCGAGACATTACGCCGGGAACAGTGAAGCTTCCAGTGTTACACGAAATAAATGTTCATTGACATCCTGGAAAGACACACACACACACACACACCATCAATGACATATCCTTTAAATATTTATAATAAAGCAAAAGGAGTTAACGTGTCTGGTGATGGGTTAATAGCCTCCTGAAGGTGGCGCTGACGTAACTCAGGTATATTTGTGTAATGTGATTAAGAATTAGGGTTTTGGCATGGAGGTGAATAATGTTTTCTGATTTAATTTACTGTGGAGAGAGAGAGAGAGAGAGAGAGAGAGAGAGAGAGAGAGAGAGAGAGTCATTTTATAGATTACCCATAATAACAATTGAACATTATATTCTTGCGAGTGTTCAACGCTGTGTTCCTCTCCATTGTCTCCAAACAGCTCCCCACAACAACAGATGAATGAAACCTACATCAGGTAAATCACAAAGACGCAACCAAGAAAAATGAATCAGAGTTTTACTTAAGAGACACCAGTCCTAAAGGCGACCACTGGGTATACGTGACAAATCAATTCGGTGAAAAGTTGACATGAAAGGAGAAACAACAGAGAAGGAAGCAGTACAAAAGGGAAGTGAAAGGAACATTGAGAATAAGAAAAGTTGAAAAAAATGAAACAATGAAGAGACAACATACCAGAGAGTGAAGGAAGAATAGGTAATAGAAGAAAGAGAAATATTTGATACTCTATTTGGTTCAGTTAGTTCGGAGCAACACTACCAGTCATCTTAATCCTGTTGGTTGTATCACTTGTGAGTACTTTACCATCCCACTATTATAACTTTCTTTGATCTTCCCTTTTCACACCTCAGTGACCCAGTGCTTTTGCTGTTCCTTAATCAGTATCAATATTCCTCCACTGATGTTGGTGTCGTTCCCTTAGATGTACTGGGCCGTGTGTGTTACACCCCCTTCACCCATGGTGTCGACACAATACTCCCTCATATTGATCCTGATGCCTTTCTACACAACTCACTGGGTTACACCAACCTCAACTGTAACTATTACTTTCCTGACTCTCCCGAGTTTAGTTCTAGTCTTCTACCACCTCATTCCTTCTCCTTAATTAGCCATAACATCAGCAGTATTCCCCTTCACTTAGATACCTTTTTAGATCAGTATATACCTTCTATTGCCCACAAATTTGATGTACTTGGGTTCTGTGAGACCAAACTCACTAACAATATTGAACATTTGTATAACATTCCTAGTTATAATAAACACTGCGTCAACACGTCACGACACAGTGGTGGTGTCGCCCTGTATGTTACAAATCTGTCAATCACTTGATTGACAACAATTATTTCCAGTTCCGGAATAATCCGATACAACTTAAGGAGACAAGAGCGACTAACCCCCCCCCATGGGCTCTTCTCAGTCCCAGACCTCCATAAAATATCACGGTGTGAAGGTGTGGAACAACTTACCCCCACCCATCCGAGCAAAGACTACGCTCCCTTCCTTTAAATCATCTCTTAAAAAATATCTATTGTCTAAGTGTTCATATTTTTTTTAATACTTACTTTATATACCTGCTTTTATTGTACCACCAAAACCGTTTTACCAAAAATTATCATGTAAATAGATAAGAAATTAACATTGCAAAAAATATGTTTGCCAACTAGACATAATCCTGACAGCTCTGTCCTCTTGTTCCACCTTAATACTGTACAACCCATGTTGTACTGCTTCCCTCATCATATTTATGTTGTTGTTTTTTTCAATTTCCACTGTAAATTATGTATATACAGTACTTATAATATAAATGTAAAAAAACTAAAAAATAAAATACAAATCGAAGTGATAACCGTAGTAACATACTGAGATGTTCTTATTACCACCATGCTATGTGTACTAGTCCAGATGTGACTAAATGTTACATAATACTTCCTTGAGATAAATGTACAGTATATATCAGGTGCAGCTCAGACTCTCAACTGGCTCAGCCAAGTTAATATTATGACTTATTTAATCGACTCTGTATCTGTGTACTTCTGGCTAAAAAAAAAAACTGTTTCAATATCAATAACTTACTCTTTCCATAACGGAAGTAAGTAATAAACTACGATAACTTACTCTGGGCATCACGGTTGTAAACAATAACTACGATAACTTACTCTGGGCATCACGGTTGTAAACAATAACTACGATAACTTACTCTGGGCATCACGGTTGTAAACAATAACTACGATAACTTACTCTGGGCATCACGGTTGTAAACAATAACTACGATAACTTACTCTGGGCATCACGGTTGTAAACAATAAACTACGATAACTTACTCTGGGCAAGGGCAGCGGAGAGGAGGCTGACGAGGGCGAGGAGGGTACAGAGGGCCGTCCGTGTCATGGCGTGGCAGAGGTGTTGGGTGTGAAGTGTTCACCGTGGCGGCACTCACCCCCAACACCTTATATACCAACCACCACCACCACCCACATTAACCACTAGTACGTCTCACACAGGTGGTAAAGTCAGCTAATTACCTTCCACACTACCTAGGCGGTTCAGTCACCTTGGTCTTAGGACTGGAGATGCCTTACTTTACCTGTTTTGTATTCCATGAAC